GAGGGAGGGAGGGAGGGAGGGAGGGAGGGAGAGGGAGGGAGGGAGAGAGAGAGAGAGAGAGAGAGAGAGAGAGAGAGAGAGAGAGAGAGAGAGAGAGCAACGCTAAGTCGCGAGCGATGAATCGCTCGTCTTCCTGGATTAGTCATCCTGTAATCGAGAGGGTCTTTCATCGGCGACAGGAAATTCGTTCGTCTCGACTGTCGGCAGAAACGAGCTTGGAAAGCACAGCAGCGCGAAGAAGAGCCATCGTCCGCCCCCGCCGTCCACCTCTGCGCCTCACCCCATCGCCCATCGTCATACTCGCGCTTCTCCCACCCATTCTCGTTTCCATTGAAATTCCCTCTCGCTCGGTCCGCGACCACGATCCTGCTACCCCTTAATCGCCTCTCTTTCGTGCCGTTCGCTCCGATTAATTGAATCGGGCGCGGGTCACCGCGGGTCGGATCGCTGGTCGCGAACACTGCTGCCGCGGCCCTACCGGCTCTCTCTCTCTCTCGCTGCTACCGGCTCGCCTCGCGTTTCTTGCCGCCGATCCGCTGAAATTACGAAACGCGGGGCCCCCGACGGGATCACGCGACAAACGAGATGCGAGGACAACGAGAACTCGGAGAGAAGGTCGGGATCCCTGGACGTTAGTGCGGTTCGCGTTGCGAGCAAGTCGCGTTCCACGGTAACCCCATACCCTGTACGACCGGCTTTTTCGCCATCGTCCTCCTCTTCGGTTCTCGTTCTCGCTTTGCGAGCGTTCTCGCGGTCAACCGTATTGCTCCAGCAACCGTCGTCGACTCGCAGACATGTACAGTCGCGAGTAACACGGCCGTCTTTCCATCGTTGAACGCGCGAGGAAAAACTATCCTCGGACGGGCGAAATTTGTCGGCGACACGCTCGATGCTCTCCTTCCTTCGGTTAAAGTTTGTCGGAGAGGCGAAGGAAAGAACGAAGGAGGACAGGATAGAGTTCCTTGGATACCGGCACTGTTGCGTTCACGGCTACTCTTATAATGTCTCCGAGCGTTCTCGTCCTCGAGTACCGTCGTATACGGTACTTCTCTAAGATTTCTTCCGCCTCGGATTCTATCGACGATCAGCGGGGAAGCGCGATCGATCAACGGAGCTTCGAAGTGGAAAAAAGGAGGAGGAGGAGGAGGAGGAGGGAGAAGAAAAGAACGAGCTGAAGAGTGAAAAAGGGGCAAAGACCAGAGTAGACTGGACGAGGACATAAAGACACGGAAATTCTGCAGAGACAAGCGATATTCGTGGTTAAGCAGGTAGGGACGCCGCGCGCGCCGTGCCGTCGAGTATAGGTATCGTCAAGTGCTCGAGCACAGGCGAACGAATCGTTACAGTTGCGGCCGACGTTTCCTGGCATTCGAGCTTCCAGCGTTTCCGATGTTTGCGGAACGCTGGAACAGCTTCGAATAATAGGTGTTTGCGCACTAGTTAGTGTCGTCCAGCGATAGCGTCCGAGAGAGCCCGATCGAGCCGGAACGAGAACTCGCATTGCTTCGCATCGCATCGCATCCATGCGGGCCGAAATGCTAACGGAGATACGATTGCGGGCCAATTTACGCGCCGCGCTAAATCGAGGAGAACGCGCGATCGGCGTCGAGGCGATCTTCGTCTAAAATGCAAACTCCCGCGACCCTGCGGACTTTCGGCGCTCCAAGTATTTCCGTCGCACCGCCGCTTTCGATTCGCGGGAAACCGTGCCGATGACGTCGACTCCCCCGTGGGAAGGCGAAACTTTAGTTCATACATATTTGACTGATATCGTTGCCGCTGATCTCTCTCGGGGCTATCGACTGTCGAGGGATGCGCATTCTCTCGTCTAGCTTTTATTAATTCAACTTGATTAACCGAGTGCGGTGCGCGGACAACCGCGAGCTCTCAATTTTCCGTGTCCCAGCGAAACCGAAAATGATTTTCTTTCGAGAAAAGAAAAAAACGTTATCGTTCGAGCAGTGTAACGGAACTGAAATTCTCGTAACCGATGATTCAACCGGAGTGGCGCCGAGTACGTACGTACATCGATGATTACTCATCGCCCCGAATGAATCACTTTTCCGAATGATTCGCCTACATGCTGCTCTTGTCGATCATCTGTCGAAATTCTACCGAGAAAATGCCTCGCGAAGACGCGCGTCCCGTGGGAACCGCTTCGTGGACCAACGTTGAATAACAACAACAACGAGATCGCGTGTATGATTTTCCGATGACACGAAAAAAACGGCCAAGCGCAATCTTATCGAAGCGAGCCGTACGTTAACTTTATCGCAGATATCGATGCAAGCTTATTACAGATACTTTACGAGGGATTGGATTCTCGGCGGTTCGTTCGTTCGAAATGAAGAAAGGAAAAGATGAACGCGCGGGGCCCTTGCGTCCCTCGAGACGAGCCAGCGGTTCTATGGGACCCGAGGCGAGCCATCCGTGGGCCTGTGCACAGTCTCGTTGTCAGTGCTGCTCAACCTTCGATGGCCAGCCGATTCTTGTTGTCCTCTCGAATTATCCGGCTTCGAGGCGACTTCGTAGCAGCCACGGTGTAGATGGAACGGTCCGAAACCGATGGCCGCGGTTCAATCGGAGAATCAAAAAATGCGATTCCGTAGATCGTACACTTACGAGGTTGTGTGCAACGTCGCTCGGCGCAAAGCTTGTGGCATAAGCTACAACACGGTATGGTATGGCACGCCACGACCCCGGCCTTACGTTCTTTGTCCCCTCGACTTCGTTCCTTCGAATCGGCGCCGCGCGGCGTATCCGCGTCTTCCTCCGCTTTCCTCTCCCTATATCTATCCCTGTTTCCTCGGTCTCGCTCCCTCTCGGGCCGTTTCAATGACTCCGTCCTCGCGTCCATTGTTCTCCCCGTGGCTCACGGCCCCTGGCAAGACGCGGCGCGGCCGGTCTGTCTTTTCTTGGAGGCTCGCTCGCCGACGGATAACGCATGGCTCGTCTCCGAAAAAACGAGCGGAAACACGTCACCCCGCGCGCCGGTCGATCGCGCGTACTAAAATATTTTCGGGCCACGAACCAGCTTCCGGCCTCTGCCGCTCGACGCGACATTTTGCATAATCCAAAGCGGTTTGTTTACGTCCGTTCACGGTCCAGCGTCTTTGAGAATCTCGAGCGGCGGGGATAAAGCGACCCGAAGCCCGAAAGAAAAGAGAAGCCGTACATAGAATGTTGAGAGTGCGCGAGGCCGCCACCGTGTGCTGGCTTGGCCTGACAGCTTGTCCGCCTGCCTTGCCCGCTTGCCTGCCTGCCTGCCTGCCAGCCAGCCAGCCAGCCCGCCTGCCATTGCCGCAGCTAAAGCTGCATTCTTTCCTGAGAGGGAAAAGAACAGACCGAGGACTGAGCGGAAAAGAGAAGAGTGACAACACTGTCGAGAGAAAGAAGGGGGGAGGCTAGGGGGGGGGGGCGAGGCGAGACACTGACGAAGACCGATAGGGGAAGAAAGACGGGGGAAAAAAATCTGAGGAATGCACCGAAAGAGCACTTTGAAATCGGCTGGCAGTGCTTTAAGATTATGCAGCGCAAGGTTCCGCTGAAACCGAAATCTCGCGCGAGGCCGTCCCGAATGGTACGGGACCTCGGCTAGCTGGAACCCGAAACGATATCTCGCCTCAATCAGATCGGCTCGAATTTACATCGTGCGATCTGCCAAGTTCTCACGGGCCCACGAGCCGAAGAGCCGCAGTCCTCGCCGCGTTCGAATCGAGATCGAGGCGATCGATCCGACAATTCCCACGGGCCCAAGGTATGCACGCACCGCCGACACCGAGAAAGTATCGTGGAAGTATATCGCGCGAAATGCAACGGTCGCCACCGGTTTTCTCGGAGTACCCGTTTCGTTTCTCTCGACCCGATATCCTGCCATCCGATATCTTTTCTCAAGAAAAACAGAGCCGGGTACCGGTTTTGGATTACACCGCCGCGCCACGCCAAAGAGAAGACGTCGTTCCTCTGTTCGGCGAGAGTCAACGACATCTTCGCTCGATGTAGAGGTACACGTTCCAACGGTCGAACGGACTCAAAAACCCGTTCGAAAAGAGAAACGAAACCTTTCTTCCCGGACACCAAAATCCGTATGGCGGAGGAGTTGGGGAAAATGAGGGAAGAGGACAAGAGATCGGAGTAGATTTATCCGACGGACACACCGTGATGAACATTGAACGAGCAAACGGCTCCAAAACTGTGGGTAACAGAATAAATCGGTGTACACGGTTCGCCCGAGAAAGACACGTTGTTCGAGAGCGTCGATCCGTAGCAGTCGTTAAGAACGGGGCCTGATGCCCCACGGTCCCCAGCCCACGACCTCGACGACGCACTCGACACGCGCATGCGCCTGCTTCGCTCGGGCTACGCTCGCGTACAGATGTAGAAATACGCTATACACGCGTATGCATCCAACGTGTGCCCCGACCCCGACACACGGGAGCACCCGGAACAGCCGCAAACACACTCAAACACGCGCAGCGAGACAATCTGCTACAGCTCACGGATCGCGGTGTAGTAGTAAGAGTAACCTCTAAAAAGAAACTTATCCCACTCACCGAGAGTTCCCCAGAGCAGCAGAAACGATAGTAAAAGACGCTGGGGCCTTGCCCAGGCCCGTATCAATCGGCGGTGGTCGGCCTCTCTTAGCGACATCTTTCCCTTTTCCTCGCGTTTCCGGCCCAAACGACTGCGACCGCGTAGCGTCGCCGTCTTCAGCCCCTCGTTGCCCGATGGATGTCCGTCGTTGCGTCCGTGTCGTGCCCAGCGATTTCGTTGGCCAAAGTTTCTCGGATCGCTAAATCACGTCGGCGGCGCACATGGCTCTCGCCCCCGTCGAGGTCTCTCTCTTTCTCCCCAAATCCAACGGGGGAAACAAGAATGGTAACAAGACACACGTCACACTCGCGAACCTCGAGCGAAACGCGACGAGGCAGGCCGTCGGATGCGCGACGCGACGTGACGTCGGAACCAAACACTGCACGCGCGAACTTTCCAAACCTGTCGAACTTTTTCAACTTTTCTCCTACGAACAGCGACTAAACGCGACGAGACAAGGACGTGGAATTGCTGGCCGCTGTGTGCTACGGGTCTTTCCTTACTTCTTTCGCTCTACTTTGCCTGCCTATCCGTCTGCTTGTTTGCCTGCTTGCCTGCCTGCCTGCCACAGCCTGCCACAGCCTGCCGTCGCTGCCTGCTTGTCCGCCTGCCCCGAATACTCTCACCCTCGCGCTTTCCCCCACTCCGCTTTCGAGCTAGCTGCCCCTCTCGATCCCCAGCCCCCTCTAGTCTTTTCTCTGTCTCTCCCTCTGGACAGCCTACCGCTTACCCCCTCCACTCCCTACCAATCCCGTCGCCGGCATACAAACAGCTCTCCCCACCAACCTAACTACTTGTTGATCTTCTCCCTCAGGAGCGGCGCTCGGTTCACCGCCGCCTCGCGCACCCGCGCTCCCGCGTTCTTTTTCTCCATTTTTCCGCGATTTTTCTACGGTCGACGCGTCGCGAATTGCGGGTCGCGACGGGACAACTTGCTCGACAATCCACAGTGCCCTGTTATGTATCTCATTCATACATTGGACATGTTTACTTATTCGTCCCGTCGCGTGTCCCTTCACCGTTCGAAACGATCGTGCGACCCATCCAACGCTGTCCAACGTTTTCAGAAGCCCGAACGCCGAGAGAACGAACTGGTATCCTACGCACGTTTACACCCAAGAAATTATCGTGATTACAGTAATTTCCTCTTCCAAGAAATTAGAGTCTACCTCCAACCGCTATCCCTCGTGTCTTCTTTTTCATTTCGTTTCCTCTCCGTGTCGTTTCATTCTCTTGATTCTCTTTCAGTAACGGTCGCGTGCAATTGAGGAGAAGAAACGTTCGGTGGGATATACTGTTTGCGAATCGTAATCGCGAAGGTTGCCCGCGTTAGCAGTTTCTCCATCCTCGAATATTCCTAGAAAGAGAAATGGCGCAGCGTTCCTCATTCGTTCACCTAACCGATCAGTTCTTCACGGAAATCTGATTGACGAATTTGCCTTTATCACCGCTAGGTGGGCCAATTATCGCAATGTATGAAATATGAATCGCGTTCGACATCAGTGATTTCATTGTTTTTCGATCTTCTGATTTTCTTCTTTTTTTTATTATTCCCGCCTTCCGTGAACGGTACTCGGAAACCTTTATTTACGTTTAATGATACATTTTTTATGGAAGGAAACGGATTCGATGAAATATCAGGTATGACTTTGGAAAGACCGATAATGGGCCACACCTTCTCACGGCGTGACTCGCTGGCGTGACCAAGAACGTGAACGCGAACGATATCTGGAGTGTCATGAAAAATTATCAGCAGACTCGATCGTCAAAAAAATTAACTCTTAGTAGAGCAGAATCATTTCCTAAAAAATGTTTTTTTATGCAGATAGTCGATCGAGCCGGAAACGATAGATTTTTTTCGGATGTTAACTACGAATTCGAACCGCGATTGACTACAGATAATTCCGTTTGACGCCGTAAATTACATTCGATGTAGGTTCCAAAGCTATTTTCATTTGCATGTGGAGACCGTGGTCCGCGATGCGCCAACAGGCGGCTATTCAACACGGCGCAATTCACCCTATCGGGTCAGCCGCGTTACCCGAATGCACGATCAAAAAAACAAGCAGGAAAAATCAGTTTGAATTTTAATTTGTACGGAAAAATTGGCGACCGACCCATTTGATTTTCCTCGAAATTGTAATGGTTCGAAAACGATGTCGACTCTCGTCCGCTTATCGTCGTGCCCCGACTCGTCTCGTCAAATCGGTTTATCAGCAATTTTGATCGTTTTCCGCCTAAACAGCAAACGCTGGACACACGTCGGGTGTATCGACCCGCAACCCCATTATCTCGCGTATTCCCAAAGGATAGCGACCATCAGTCGTGTCTCGCTTTCCCTAACGCCTATTTTTCGCGAACAGCATTGAACTGACGCGAGTAGGTGTAGTAGGTGTAACCAGCCAGCAGGTTTCCCGACGTCGCATCGCGAGATCGAAGCACACGAATTCGTTTGGAAAAATAACTCGTTGCGGTCGCGGCTAACCAAAACGAAGAATCGCGCCGATCAAACACAGAGCTGGACTATTACCACGTTGGAATCTGTGATTACGATTCGTAATTGGGCCCCGTTCTCGTTACATTTTCGTTAGTGTCGACCATGCGCTCGCCTAATTTGCTTTTCGTCCCTTCGTTCTCCTCTAGTTTCGCGATGCGAACAAATTAGAATGTACCTGCATGCAGGACGTATACACAGATGTACATGTAGATACGAAAGTGTGTTGGTAGTAGCGACTATTAATTTCGTTATTTCGTTGCGTGCACGTACTTCTTTTTTTACACGTCCAATTAATCAAATTAATCGACCTCTATCCACCGGTCGAATTTCATAATGTTCCGAGGCACTCGTTGGCTTTCGGCCGCCAAATTCTAAACGTGCGCTGGATTTTGTTATGGTTAAACCGCTCGTATTTTACCAACTGTGCTGTGAATGTTTCTGTAATCATGATTAAGTCAATCTAGTTAATTGAATTGAATGTTTTGTTAATGCGACGACGAAACTAATGCACGACGAATAGAATTACCGTGATAGGAGAAAATATAATTCGGGGAGCACTATGGAAATGCCGTGAACCCAGAAACTGATCCAAAATAGTAAATCAAAGTTAAAAAAGCAGTTATGTTTCGGAATGTTGTCATTTGTTCTTGCTTACGATATTGACACAGTTGATTCTCCTGAACAATTCCGTACCTTTACTTTAGTTTTTTATGTCCTAATTCTATCAAAATTAACGTTTTTAGCACCCTGTATTGTGTTGGTTATAGTGACGCTTCTTTTGGAGAAAAAAAAGAAGCTCCGTTCGAGGTTTGTACAACGCCAATTGCGGTAGCAAAACGCTCAAACTATTAATCAAATTACCGACAGACGATTTTGGCTAACAGTTTCATCGTTTTGACACTTTCCAAATTGGCGCTGTACGGACCTCGAATTAAGCTTTCATTTTCTCCACAAGAGGCAGCACAATCGTGTTTTAGTGTCGCTAAATTCTGCTGCTTCGAAATGTCAAAACAAATACATAACCTGAAAGTCGCATAAGCTCAAAGCGCAAGTACCTCGGTGCGGATATAGTTGAACCGATGTTTGAAACGTTACAATGTTTATCGTGACGAAAGAAATCGACAGCGAAAATATTAGTAAATTGTGCCGTACGTGTTTGAGAGAGGATGGCGACAAAATGATTTGTTTGTTCGTGGGACCGGCTGGCTCTTCTCTTGCTGCAAAATTGCGATCTTTGTCGTGTTTAGACGTAAGAAAACAACTTGATCCCGTTCAGTTTTTTTACATCTTTGTTGTTAACGAGCGTGTTGCGCGTGTTCCACCAGGTTTGGCAAGGCGATGGCCTTCCGGAAAAGATGTGCGATCGTTGTGTTACCAGAGCCGAGTCTGCTCTGCTCTATAGGGAACAGTGTCGGGCCGCTGACAGAGCATTGAGACAAGCCGCGCTAAAGGTACTCCTTGGTGGTAAAATTCCACTTTAGAGTTGCTGCGAGCTAAACATTTATCGTTTCACAGGTTTCTGGTTTAGCCGCATATGCTGCAGTATCTGGATGCAAACTGTACCAGCAGAACCAAAGCTTCCAGCCAGTTTCAGTTCCGGTACCAGTTCCAGTCTCCAACACTCACAAAGCGTTGAAGTGTATTGAATGTGGTATCCCATGTGCGAGTTACCAAGAACTCTGCACGCACAGTAGATCGCATTTACCATTTATACAAGAGAATATCCCCGTGCAGCGAATGCGCGTAGCAGAAACTCAAAATTCTTACCTCAACTTTAATTTTAGCCATTTCAGTTCGAATCTGACCGGAGAAGCAATGTCGAACCCGCCGCTATCCCCTTTGATTAGATCGAACATGATCCAACAAATGATCCCAACGAATGGCGAGAATTCTAGTCGCGCCGCTTGCGCGTTGCATTGTTCTCTGTGCAATCACACGTTCACGAACAGGATGCAGTTGATGAGCCATAATATCGCCCATAGCACAGAGAATATAGATATGTCTTGCGACAACGAGAACATAGATATCTGCGAGAACTCGAATCAAATTCCTCAGAACTTGAGCTATGAAAGATCCATCAACTCCGTCGAAAACTCCATCGAGAACTTGTCGTACGAAAAGTCTGGGACAAACGGAACCAGCCAGGTGCAAGTGCACAGTGTCGGTTTTCCCGAGAACATGGATCTGGAGGAAATTCATGCGTCGCAGGGAAGCTCCGAGCGACTTGGAAACACGTCGATGCATCATTCTGGGAATGACATGCTCGACACCCGTGCTTTGAGGTTCACCAAAGACCTCGAGCGTGCCGACAACAAGGAAAACATCGGTGGCTACGAAATGTGCTCCAGCGATTTGAATTACAAGGAACACGTCATTCAGGAACGCGTTGAACAGGCCAGCTCAGAAACAAAGAAGTACAAATGCGAGGCGTGCTCGAAATTGTTCTCTCAGAAATCGAAACTACAGACTCATCGGCTGTCGCACTCTGGTCAGCAACCCTTCAAATGTCAGAGCTGCGACAAGGCGTACTCGAGCAAAAGCAAATTGAACGCTCACGTTCGACTGCACACTAAGACCAACGTGCACAAGTGCAAAATGTGCGAAAAAATATTTGCATATCCCTCGTACCTGCGGGACCATTTGAAAACCCACGAGCAGATGTCTGTCAAAGCAACAACGACGGTAACCGCGACCACGACTGCAACCATGACCACGACGGCAATGACCATTACCGCCGACCAGAGGAAAATATTCGAATGCGCGGCTTGTCGGAAAAAATTTCGCATGCTGAAGAATTTAAGGGCCCACGAAAGGTTGCACACCGGCAAGGGTTTGGTGCAATGCGAGATATGTGACAAGAGGTTCAGTCAACGGTACAACTTGAAGATTCATCTGCGAACGCACAAGGCGACGAGAGCGCACAAGTGCGAGTACTGCGGCAAGAGTTTCGTGCAGAAGGGCAATCTCGTCGAGCATCTGAGAATTCATACCAAAGTAAAGCCTTTCGAGTGCAACACCTGCGGGAAACGCTTCTCTCAGTCGAGTCACTTGAAGAATCACGCGGCTTCGCACGCATCTCTGAGGCAGCATCAATGTCGGTTGTGCGGAAAGCGATTTAAGCTGATCAATCACTTGAAAAGACATTTGAATTTGCACAACGGTACCAAAACGTACAAATGTCATCGTTGCAATCAGCTGTTTTCACAGGCATTTAGCCTAACGAGGCACTTGAAGAGACACGAGTCGCACGAATCACATACCTAACGCGCACGCGTAAAATTTTTGTATTTATTATTAAATTTATATTTCACGTGTACATATGTATATTTATATGTATATGTATATAGCCGGTCTGCGTAGTCCTCTATCGTTTTCTCTCTGCGATTTCCGCTAATGTTGCATTCATCTGTAGTTGTCGAGCACTGTGGTCAAGATACGCAACCCTTCCCTGAGTTGTTCTTCCGTGATGACGAGCGGCGGGGATATCCTTATTATTTGTCCGTGCGTCGGCCTGGTCAACAGTCCTGCTTCCTTCAGTTTTAAACAGATATCCCAACCCTCGGCGAATTCTAAAACAGTAGCACAGGATCGGAACGTTATCATGCGAATGAATTCCTCCCACGATCATCGGCTGCAATCGGTAAAATACCTTTCTTGATCACCAGTCCTGCCAGCAATCCACGTCCGCGAAATTCCGTCGCTACGTCTTTTGGCAATTTCTGTAGCTCCTGTCGGACAATCTCGCCGAGTTTCCTCGCGTTTTCGGCGAGATTCTCTTCCTCCAAGACTCTCACCGCCTCCAAAGCAACTTTGTTTCCGAGCGGACTGCCGCCGAAAGTGCTACCATGCGATCCGGTTTCCAGGCAATTTATTATCTGGCCAAGATAATAGATAATATTTAATAGACTATGCGGGTACGCGTTGAGAACAAGCAATTGATTGTTACCTGTTCGTCCGCCAAAATTCCGGAAACGGGATAAAATCCTCCGGACAGTGCCTTTCCTAAAACCAGAATGTCCGGTCTTTGATTCTCGTGGTCCACGGCCAGCCGTTTTCCCGTTCTGCATAAACCAGTCTGAACCTCGTCGGCGATCCACAGAACGTTGTATTTGGTGCACAGGTCTCGTACCCCTTTCAGGTAACCATCCTGGAAAAGCGAACGAACCAACCCCGTAGGAATCGTCGCGACTATCCACCGATATAGATGAGATTAACTTACGCTCGGTATCACGACTCCTGCTTCACCTTGAATCGGCTCCATCATGAATGCGCAAACCGTTGGGTCTTGCTTAAACTTTTGTTCGAGTGCGACGAGATCGTTGTACGGTATTTTGTCGAATCGGGGCACGTAGGGCCCGAAATCGGTGTAACAATTTGGATCGGTGGAAGCCGACAGTGCCGCAATCGAACGCCCCCAGAAATTGCTGTTGGCGAAGACGACGGTCGCTTGGTTCGTTGGTATCTTTTTGATCCTGTATCCCCAACGTCTTGCAACCTTGACGGCGGTGTCACCGGCTTCGACGCCTGCAACGATAACACATTCGAGGATCGGCTCTTTCTTTCCCCTCGACTAAACACTTTTATTTCTATACCGGTATTCATGGGTAAAAATTTGTCCCAGCCTAAAAGCTTCGTCAGATATTCTCCCAGTTCGCCGTGAGGCTCCGAATAAAATGCTCTGGAAGTGTGCGTCAAGTTCCCCGCCTGCTCTCGCATCACTTTGACTAAACGCGGATGGCAGTGGCCCTGATTAACGGTCGAGAATCCTGCCAAAAAATCCAGATAACGCTTCCCGTCAACGTCCCACAAATGTGCGCCCTCCCCTTTCGCAAGGACCACCGGAAGGGGCTTGAAATGTCTGCCGCCGTACTTGTTGTCTCGATCGATCAGCTCTTGCGAGCCTATAAATCTTTTCAAGCCCAACTCCTTGGGCATTCTTGAGAGAATTCTCGACCCTGCCGGATGCATTTTTCAATCTACGATGAAAGTGGCGAAGAACTGCGGAGGCGGCGAGAAAAAGGACAGTGTCACTCTGCGGCTGGGACAATGAAAACTGTTCGCGAGTTTGTAATCGATCTTACATTTATACGGATCTCGGAGAGGAAGAGTAGGGAAGGTATATTGCTTATTTACACGGAATGTTTATGTACACGATTGATACGGGGAAAGGATTTCGAATAAATTCCTTCGACACAACGAAAGATTTTATGTCTGATAATGACGTGTGCGAAGACGCCTTTTATTGCGGCGTCGCCGTGGCGGGCAAACGAAAAACAGCAAATAATATACTAATCTGAAAGGTTGCAGACACTCGTAAGATGGAATAAACCGATACAGATATGCATACGGTTTTTAGGGCATCGTCGAATCAACGGCCCATTTGCGGTTCATTATCGCGTGATTAAGATATTTAGAATACAAACATTTCGAAACAGCATTTCCGATCGGGACAATGCTAGTATTGTAGTAACAAAAGCAAGATCGATCACGAAGATTGTAAAAATGAAACGGTGTTATAAACATCCGCTGTGAGAGAGATCGTCGGGTTCTTATCGCTTATCAACCGTTCTTACTGTTAATGCCCGATAGCATGAAATCGATTACACGTGTCCATGTCGATATTACCGATGCGCAAACGAATACAGCCGATCAGCGAGCCAAGAACAAGTACATATGTAGTTGCTTTGTGGTCATATGAGCCGTACCGTTTGTCACTTCAATCTTCAAACGCGATATCACGACATTATACATATTTGTGTCTCGAGATGTCAGCCGTCCGACAAGCGTCGGAATAAACATCGATCAAAGAATACAGAATTATATCGCGTTAAACTATTAATAACCGGCGAGCAATTTTTCTTCCACCCTAGAGGACATAGTAACCAGATAACAATGTGCCGTCGAATGTGACTCGTGATATTTTGTTCACAACGGCCTCCAGTATTATCACAATACCAGTGCATTTTGTTCTGCTTATATTTACAATATCCGTGAATCGCGCATCAGGGTCGCGCGGATTACAAATAATCGAGGGTTAGTTTGCGCATTGTATTATAGTTTTCGAAATGATCTCGGCGCATTCCCGCGTCTGAGCCTCTGTGATAACCAACGGCGGAGCCAGCCGAATGATGTGTCCATGCGTTGGTTTCGCCAGCAAACCCGCGTCTCTCATTTTCAAGCAGATTCCCATGGCGTCGATCTTTTCGTTGATCACGATAGCGTTTAGAAGCCCCTTCCCTCTGACCAGCGTGACAATGTCATTCGGTAGCTTTCGAAGCTCGGTCCTGAGGATTTCGCCGAGCTTCTCAGCGTTCTCCGCCAGCTTCTCCTCTTCGAGCACGCGAAGCGCTTCCAGAGCGACCCTACATCCTAAAGGATTGCCGCCATAGGTCGACCCGTGCTCGCCTGGCTTGATCGTTAACATCACCGAGTCGTTGGCCAACACGCCGGAAACCGGGTAGAAACCACCGGACAGTGCTTTGCCAAGGATCAAAATATCCGGCATAACGTTTTCATGGTCTACAGCCAAACGCTTTCCCGTTCTCGCTAGTCCAGTCTGTACCTCGTCCGCTATCCACAAAACGTTGTGCTTGGTGCACAGCTCCCTGACACCTTTCAAATAACCGTCCTTGAATTGAGAAAATTATATTTTTTTAATTTTCATTCGACTTTGAAAATCATCGGTTACAGATTCGGGTTTGCTACCTTTGGTACGACCACTCCAGCCTCTCCTTGTATAGGCTCCACCATGAACGCGCAAACGTTCGGATCAGCCAATTTTTGTTCGAGCGCGGCGAGATCGTCGTACGGGACCAGCTCGAATCCGGGCATAAAAGGACCGAACCCACTGAAGCTAGTCGGATCTGTACTCGAAGAAAGTGCGCTCATTGTCCTCCCCCAAAAGTTGCCTTCGGCAAACACGATTTTTGCTTCGTATTGTGGTATTCCCTTGCTGCTGTAACCCCATCTTCGCGCCAGTTTGCACGCGGTCTCGCCACCTTCCACTCCGGTGTTCATTGGTAGCCATTTGTCATATCTGAAAAGAACGATCTTCGTTTATACGATGAAATATATGTGAAATGTGTAGAGTGCGGATTTTATGCGTTTATAGTACAAATTGATAGGTGAAATATAAAATAGTGAAAAGATTAAGAGGCAATACGAATGTTGATGCATTGATTTCAACTTATCAAAATTATTTAAGAAAGAGAAGAAATTGCTCTTGGCTCGGATATCTTGTAAGTGATGCAGACAGTTTTTATTTTGCATAAAGATCCGCAGTCTAGTAATGTCGAATCGATGTTGTAAATTGTTGCTTACCCGAAAAGTTTCGTAACAAACTCTTCGAATTCACCCAACGCATCGGAATAGAAGGCCCTCGAAGTCAGAGTCAAAACTTTTGCTTGTTCCGCGAGGACCTTGTATATTCTTGGATGACAATGGCCCTGGTTCACGGCGGAGTAAGCGCTCAGAAAGTCATAGTACCGTTTGCCTTCCATGTCCCACATGAAAACTCCCTCGGCTTTGCACAAGGCCACGGGAAGGGGATGGTAATTGTGAGCACCGTATTTGGATTCTCGGTCGAAAACTTGTTGAGACGTGAGCGTTCGGTTTTGCTCGCTCTACGAACAAAAATTTAACGTTTACTTTTCGATATGTACTTATGTGCCCCAATTTTCCTTACCTGACGGAACAAATTCAACAGTTTGCTTCCCGATATTACACTCGTTCTACCAAGTATGTTTTTAGCCAATGATTCCATTGTTGAGTCCTAAATCTATCTTGTGCGTAACGGTATATCGATCTGTAACATTCGTATGTAAAGTAACTTTTCCGTCGTTTGACGTGTCGATAATGCTCCTGATATCGTTGCAGAATTGATAGAACATCGATTCATACTGTATGAGAGGTCATATCGAACGCATGTTTATCTAACGCACGGTTCTAGCTGACCGAGCCTAACTTTCACCAAAGAAACATTTATTTCTGGCTTGCTTACTATCGAACGGTTCTCTTCCAAAATTTACGAACTAATAGATCAATGGTTCTAGCTGAATCGCATTCGAAACCATTGTGGGTGTCGTTTACGACCACTTGATAAAATTCTATCATTCTGTAAGATGCACTTTTAATCGAAAAGAAAGTAAAGAGACACGCAACATTATCAACGAGAACATTGACGTTCATCGTATTAACATCGTATGAACATGTCGTTATCACCGCGGCGAAACAACGTAACGTTTTTTAAAATTATTGTACGGTAGTAAGGTACTTACCTTTGTGGATCGTCACGATGCTAAATGATTATCCTTCCTTCCGAGTCTTACACGCTCGTGTGGCGACTATGACCGTGCACCAAGTCGAGCAGATACAGATGCAAGGTACGAGTCGAGGAGAATTCGAATGTAGAATGCGGAGTAAGGAATACGAAATACCGAAAGTCGAATAAACGTTTCATGCGCTCTTTGCTCAATCCTCTTCAAAGTGTACAGTCTCGTCACAAATACTCTGAATCGATGATAAGAAGACGAACGATATCGAAAACAAATCAGGCCCAACTATTTCAGTCCTAAAACTGTTTGCATTTGAAAGTAAACCGCGATAAGACTTCTCCAGCAGTCATTTCTATTTAACAACGTTCCCCACATGCATCGCCGATGCTGTAAAACAATTGTACAGTAATCGAATATACGTATTTCTCTGGATAAATCATTGACAAAATTGATTTTCTTTTATCATTGTCAAAAGTTTCGATCGCCTAATCGGTCTCTTATAGATAAGATCGAGAATACTAAGCTAATAAGATACCGTGGCTCCTATCTTATCTGTAAGTGCATAACTAAGTTGTAACCGAAACACGTCATATTCTTGTTATAGAGCACGAAGTAAGGAGAATTATTAAAAGATAATGCAACCGTAGGTATATGTAACGAAGAATCGTCGCAATCAAAATGTAATTCGCTGCTGTTTCATTGCTAGATCCTTGTATCCGTACAGTACCTGTATGATCTCTACATAGAACGAGAGTACTTTAAATTACACGTCGTTAATCTACGACGGATACGTATTTACTTGCTGCGTGCCTGTTCATGACAGTTTTACCCGCCAAAATTTCCTGTTCAATTCGCCATGATGTGACGCATCGCGCACTCTACACCGGCAAAGCCGCAATAATACTCGAACGGTCAGTTCGCCATCAGTATTAGTTGGTAATGTTGGTATTTGTTTAAACGTTTAAGTTTGAACGATTCTACTCCGGCCTTCGTACAAAACTTGCATTTAACCGATAATTTTAACATGAGCGAGGACGATTACGATAGTCTTCGAGAGAAGAATATAGCCGAAAGAAACGCTGTCGTAAGTATTCTCAAGTTTTCCATTTTAATTTCTAACCTGTATGCCTTTTCATATTGTTGCTCATTTCAAACGTTACAGTTTGCCGAGTTCTTTAAAGATCTGAAATCTCAATCGAACGAGTTGAAAGAATTAAAATCAAAGTACAATGACACGGAAAATTTGGAAAACGAACCGCCGAAAAAGAGACGCAGAACTATCTCTAGTGCCATCGCTGACGATAATTTCAAAGTTAACAATGTTCGTCTTGAATTCCGTAAAAGATACAACACCAGAAGTCGATCTAAAACTAAAACTAAAGATGATTCAGATGAGCCTAGAAAAAACAGGCCTAAATTGCAGGTTTTATTCCCATGGGCAAAGCCGTTTCAACGCTCGCTCGATCTTATGAAAATGGGAGTATGCGACGTCGATCAAGAAAACGAACAAAACGGCAGCAATGATGATAGCGACGATAACAATACTGATGATGATTACGATGAACATGATGACGATGATGTATATAGACCGAGAAGGAAAGGTTATAAAGTATTTAAGGCACCTTACGATCCAGATAGCATACCATCCGTTGATGAAATTACAGTACACATGTTGAATAATATAGCAGAAAAGAGTAGTGGGAAACAATATTGTAAAGTTAAAGGAACTTGTTGTCATCAGTGTCGACAGAAGACCTTAGATACAAAGACAGTTTGTCGATCAGGAGTATGTATTGGAATTAGAGGACAATTTTGTGGACCTTGTTTGAGGGGACGATATGGTGAAAGTGCACTGGATGCATTAAAAGACCCTGTAAGCAGTCTTTTTTCTGCTGTTTCCACTTTGATTTAAATTTTCATGATAACGTTGGTGTTATATACTTTTAGAATTGGGCTTGTCCACCGTGCAGAGACTTATGTAATTGCAGTATATGCAGGACAAGAAGTGGTCTACCTCCAACAGGCATCTTAGCTCCCATAGCACAAGAGGAAGGATTTACTTCTGTTAAGGACTACCTCCAATCTACTGAAATCAGTGACACATGATTTTATCGAATCCATAAAAAATGTATTGTGTATCACAACGTTTTTGTATTTCCGTAATTATTTACTCAATTAATTTGTACAACATTTGAGAAATCATACCGTGTATGAAACAATTCTTTTTCGTCAATAGTATATCCTTTTGTATTATTTAATTGCAAAGATACCATAATGTCGAGGCGATAAAATCGGATCAAATAAACGTAATATAGCAAGTTTGGAGCATAAATTACTTTTCTGTAAAAACAATATTCTATCAAGCATAATAGCTGCTTCCAATACAAGACCTGTATGTATTCGTAACATTTGAAAAGCATAGAATCGTTTAGACAAATCCTTGTGTAACTGATAAATGTTTTCCAACGTTTCAACAGGTGGTATCTGTATGAATTAAAGGAACTTAAACAATTTGTTTAACCAACATAAATATTTCTTTCCAGTTGCCGTATTATACATAGAAGTTGTACCTTCTCTGGGTCTACTCCAATTCTTGAAAATGCCCACAAGGCATAAGTTGGAAAATCGTGTAAGGGTCCGCCACGACCTACTCTAGCATTATGAACACCTAATAAACCAAATGAAAAATAAACGTTTTACTAAAAGCTGAAATTGTCAATGGAATGAAAATACAATGTTATACCTATGGAATGTAGTATCACTTGTAAGACTGCTCTGTAAAACAACGACGAAGATACGGTCTTACTATTAGTACTTCTTTCAATGGATTGTTGGGCTAACATTCTAGCATTTTTAGAAAAATTAATTGTTTTGTTTAACGTTTCGTTTGTTAAATGATAACAACAAGGCACAATGCACAAAAGATGAATATCTTTTGTGGCTAGAAAAGTTTTAATAATCGAATGAGTAAGAGAGCCACAAGCATGCAAGCCAGTTAATATAAGGTTTTTATTTAATTTCCATTCTTGAAAATTTTCATTTATCATTTTTATGTAGTTTGTGTTTTCGTCTATTTCGTCGACTATGTATTGGACCTAAAATGAACTATATTACGTTTGGATTTCATAATTAAATGGAAACTTAAGTAACGTATAATAAAGTATCATAGATACCAAATTCTGAGAATACTTTGTTCTTTTCTTTAATTTCCTTTGCCTACAAACTGCTCCTTTGCAACACGATTGCGAAGAATCTATTGCAAGGACAGGAACATTATGATTTTCAGCTAAGAATGTCGACAAATATGCTTTGCCAGCACCGGCATCTATTACTAAACTTCTAGTTGATGCTGCTACTGCTCCCACAATATTTCCAAGACATTCAACTTCATGTGATTTTTTGGCATTCATAAATTCAGATTTAACATCTTTGTATTTACATTTATTTAAGTTGTAGATGATTGGTAATACATTTGCAAGATCCATTGAATTTATTTCTATAGAACAAGATTGTAGAGAAAGAGACCTGGATAGTTTAATAAATTGATTAAGGATAGGATGTCTGTCATCTTCTATCCAGTGGATGCATTCAATATCGTCATTTTCTAACTCTAATCTCAATCCATCTGGCAAACACATTTTCCACAAATTATCCGTAATGAAATCAACTATATGACAATTTATTAATTTATCATACAGATTTATAAAATCTAAAATTTCTTCAAAACGTTTATCATACATAATGATAATGTTTTCCTTTTACATTAAAATTCAAGTTTGTCTGTTTCTGGATATGAAGAACACGTCTTCGTTATTGCACAAAATTTGGCATATTTGAACTTGATATTATCTAAGCTTTCCATCAAGTTCACAGTTTCACTATTGAATGATGGGAAATTATAAATATCTCGAAGAAGTTGCTTTGCAATAAAAACTGCTTTCTGTGATTTGGATTTGTCCAAATTTAAATATTGCTCCAAAACACCACAATAGTATCCCAACTGTGCACCTATTAAACTTGCTCTGTGGTAACCTAAATGAAATCCTTTTATCAATTGCTGTTTACCAGTCTTGTAACCTTCTTCATAACCAATGTTTTGAGCATTTTCTTCGGCAAATAATAAATTTTCAAATTCATTATTTATATCAATGTCATTCTCATTAGACATACTTATTGTACCTGGAAGTAAATATATATGTATACTGAAAATAACTGCAATCAAATTGTTCATGATTATATTTCGATTTATCAATATATTGTAATTTAACAAATTTATTTACTCACCACATTCAATAATTTTACACAGTACAGGTAAAATTATTTTAGGTTATGATTAAACATTAGGACTAAATTATATTGAATTGCACAATCAGCAATACTGGTCCAGCATCCAGCATACGTGTGCTCACAAAACATTGATCCACCATATTAGAGATCGTACGAGACATGTTTGCCAATAGTCAAGGGCACCATGGCCATTGGGTAGAATTTTGTCCTGTGAAGAAAAGCTTCCATTAAGTGTTATATGTTGATAATCATACAAGAAAAATGTCTTTTTACATCATTAACAATGAGTTATTGTTAGCAAAAGAGAAATAAGATAGTTGAAATCATTACATAATTGAAAACTTCTGTACGTGTCGAAATGTTTGTTCATAGAAATGCTGTAGTCCTGACTAACTTCAGAGGCGTGTCATGTTTGCAATAAACGCGGCGTTCTTTCTTACAACGCATCTGACAATTTTTCAAGTGAATATTTCGTAAAAGATGCTCGCATTAGGACCAAAAAAGGACGGAGGTCCCAACGCAAAATTTTTCGAATCCCAAGAAATTCTCACACAACTCGATGGAGTGAAACAATGGCTGTTAAAAAACTGCAAAAAGGTATGTCCAGAAACCCGGCGTCAAACCTCCAAGAACCATTTTACGATAATTTATACATTGTGTTGTGGTTTTTCGATTCTGATTTATTTTAAAGACGGTTTCAATGATACCTCTAGCAAATCTATTTCTTTTATAATAAAAATGGCTTTGCTTTGGAAACGATGCAATTTCACATAAATTTTTAGGGTACGTGAACGTAATAATTTAACTATCGCTTTACTATTCCTCTATATTTTGCAGTATGTACAAACGGACCCTCCTACTAATAAAAGTTTAGCTACATTGATAGTACAATTGTTGCAATTCCAAGAAGATAATTTAGGAAAAAATGTTTCGAAACCACCAATGACCAGACTTCCTGTATGTAGTCGATAAGTATGACCGAATGTTATCTTCTAGTTATAATATTATTATGAAATTAATCTGATCAATGATATTTTCAGATGAAATGTTTCTTAGATTTCAAACCAGGTGGTGGTTTGTGTCATATTCTTGCTACAACGTATCGTTTTAAACAAGAGCAAGGATGGCGTAGATTTGATTTTCCTGCTGGAAAGGTAATTACATAAAATAATGTAATATTGATAACACTAAAATGATTTGTAAATAATTATTCTTTCAGTCAGGATCACGTACAGATAGAACAGTGGACATGTTGATGGCAGCGGAACGAGCTTTAGTTCAGAACAGATGTTTCACAATACCGAGTATATACGTGCGAGCAGACGTAGACAAATCAACAGCAGCAAAAGTGAAAGAAGCAGTTCGACGACATCAGGGTACCATCACAGAAAATGAAGCTGATGCTACTCACATTATTTATCCTTCCGTGGATCCTATGGAGGAAGAATATGCGCGGCCTTGCATGAGGCGCGATAGATCCGTTCTTCTTCATTGGTATTACTTTCCAGATAGTTACGATTCTTGGACTAGCTTAGACCTTCCCTGGGATTTTCCAGAAGGAACACTTACAAATGCCAACGTGAAATCAGTGTACAAAGTATCAGCAACGTGGGCGCTAGACTTGGATCAATATAACGAATGGATGAACGAGGAAGATTATGAAATAGACGAGAATGGTCAGAAGAAAATACACAAGTATAGGCTCTCGGTAGAAGACTTAATGGCCCAGCCATCGCATCCACCACCTTCTGCCAAAAAACCAAAACGAAAACGATCTCCTAGTCCACCTCCGAAACCAGGTAAACGTAAAAGCGCGAGAGCGCCATCGGGTGTCCAGAGTGCTTCGTCAACGTCATCGCTGGCGACTCCAAAAAAGTCTCGTGGTGCGGGAGAGGAGGAAGACGATCTCACGCAAGGAATGGAAGATCCTCCGGCAGAACCTCGGATCGTAGAAGTAGTTGCTACGCCTACAAATCCGCCGATTACAGGTCAGGGGAACGCTCCGACAAGCGGAGCCACTTTAACAAGTACCGGAAGTAAAAAACAGGATAATGAACTCCAACCGTTAAAATCTGGTAACATGGCAGATTTAGATGAGCCGATGGAAGGTGACAAAGGAAGTTCTCAAAGCACTCAAGACAGGGAAGAACGTGATACCAGCAAAGAAAGGGGCGATGGTAGCAAAGGTGACGAACCAGAAGACAATGTAACAGAGCAGACTCATCACATCGTTGTTCCCAGCTACTCTGCTTGGTTCGACTATAATTCGATTCACACTATTGAGAAAAGAGCTCTGTCAGAGTTTTTCAATGGTAAAAATAAATCTAAAACGCCAGAAATATATTTGGCGTACAGGAATTTTATGATCGATACCTATAGATTAAATCCTACGGAGTACATCACGTCGACGGCTTGCAGACGTAACTTGGCTGGCGATGTATGCGCGATTATGCGTGTACACGCATTTTTAGAACAATGGGGACTTATCAATTATCAAGTGGATGCAGAGTCGAGACCAACGCCTATGGGACCTCCGCCAACATCGCATTTCCATGTACTGTCGGACACACCGTCAGGTTTGGCTCCAGTGAATCCAAACCCACCGAAAACACCACAACCATCGGCTGCGAAAACTTTGCTCGATTTAGAGAAGAAGTCAAGCGTATTGGGGTCGGAAGAAAAAGCCTCTGCTGGAGCGATGGCAAACTTTGGATTAAAGATAGATCAGTATTCGAGGAAGCCAGCGGTTTTGAAAAACAAACAAGCTGCAGGTGCTACTCGTGACTGGACGGAACAGGAGACATTGTTATTGTTAGAGGGATTAGAATTGCATAAAGATGACTGGAATAAAGTTTGCGAGCATGTCGGCTCGAGAACCCAAGATGAGTGCATTTTACATTTCTTACGGCTTCCAATAGAAGATCCGTACTTGGAAGAAGGGGGCCCGGAAGGATTAGGTCCATTGGCCTATCAACCAGTACCTTTCTCGAAAGCTGGCAATCCTGTTATGAGTACAGTTGCGTTTTTGGCTTCCGTTGTTGATCCTCGAGTGGCAGCAAGTGCCGCGAAAGCAGCCATGGAAGAATTTGCAGCTATCAAGGATCAAGTACCAGCCGCTTTGCTGGACCAACATCTGAGGAACGTTCAAGCTAGTGCAAATTCAGATGGTAACGATCAAATTTCGTTTGTTCCATATATAGAGTGATCTTTTAACGATTTTTCCTGATTATTCTCCTTTTCGTAGGCAAGTTTGATCCAGCTGCAGGCTTAGCGCAATCGGGTATAGCCGGTACAGGTCCGCCTGAACCACCAGATGACACTGCAACACCGTCAACTACTGGAAGCGTACCAACGACAGCGGCAACCTCACCGCATTCAGTCACATCTGCGCCGATAGAAACGAAGAAGGAAGAACAAGACAAGCCGAAGGAATCCGAAGTTGAACAAACTCAATTGGAGATTGGAAAGAAAGAGGATGATATGAAGGAATCTGAGGAAGATACGAAAACACCCGTGGACGTGGAAGCTATGGAAGCGAAAGAAAAGAAAGATAAGGTAAAGGCATTGTGTAATATGTTATAATACGTAATAGTAATTGGATTAATTTCTCACTTTTTTGTTACTAGGTGGTACGAGATGCTCAGTTGCAGTCCGCAGCTGCTGCCGCACTGGCGGCCGCAGCTGTCAAGGCGAAGCATTTGGCGGCCGTGGAAGAACGAAAGATCAAATCGCTGGTAGCATTGCTCGTTGAAACGCAAATGAAAAAGCTGGAAATTAAATTACGACATTTCGAGGAATTGGAAACCACGATGGAAAGAGAACGCGAAGGTCTCGAGTATCAGAGGCAACAGTTGATCACGGAGAGGCAACAGTTCCACTTGGAACAATTAAAAGCTGCCGAATTTCGAGCGAGACAACAAGCGCACCAACGTTTGGCTCAAGAACAGCAGCAACAACAACAACAGAATCAGCATCCACCCTGGCAACCTGCCGCCCAACAACAACAGCAACAACAACCACCGAGCCCTCAGGCATCAGCCCAGCAACCAGCAGCTCATACGCCTCCGCAACAGGCGTAACTGTTCTGTAAGTCATTTTTTAACTTATAACTAACTTATAAATATCAGTTGAACGAGCGAGAACAAACACGAAATGAAACGAAATATAAATGACATTTTTAATACTGAATATATTATTTCTGCGATATAGAAGTACGTCAAAAATGACTTTTGCATCGATCCACTTACATTTATCCATTGACGTTGAAACAACGTTTAACAATTTCTGATGCAACTACTAGACATAGACTGTTGTTTAGAGTCGAGTAAAAGTATCTTTCAAAAACGCTGAAATTCACGTATTATTTTCCCGTCATTTGTTTGCAACTATCGTTATTATAACCAAATTTACCGATTTTTATGCATAAAATTTTGCAATTTGTTGACCCGCTTCATCTCATTGAACCATTCGTATTTCGGTTGTTCGCAAAGATCGCTCGATGCTTGAGTTACAAAGCGTGATTGTTTACGAGTTCTACAACTAGATCAGTCATGAGTTGTGCGCATTCAGCTCCTCCCTGCGGTGGTGCTCGAGCTGTTTGTTTTTCTTTGCTTGTTTCCAGTTTCTCGTACATGTCCGGTGCTTCTTCGCTTTCGCATGTACTGATCGGTAAAATGTCTAATGCGATACCTATTCCAAAACGTCCACAACGCCGCATTTCCTCATTTAATCTGCGCAACAGTCAGAAGACGTTAACATTTTTTCCTTTTTCCCTAGTTCTACTGTATAAATAAATTTTATAGTATATTACTTACAGTTCCCACATTATCGAAGGATCTTTTACTGGGTTATCTGGATTAAGGATGTGCAACGAAGACATCAGATGGAAATGATAATGCTGAAGAAGCTGTGTCATGTGAGCCCGTCTAATCTCTCCACTCGTACAACAGTACAGAAAACTGACGAGGTCAAGAGCGAGCGAACCGACTCGAGTTAGTTGAAAATCGACCAAACAGACATCCTGTAACGATGTCCCGTTATTCGAGCGTAAACGTAATTGAAACTCTTGCTAAATTTTTAGATGACGTTCAATATTATTTTACTTCAACTTTGTTTTACTTTACAAATACCAACAATTTCAGTTCAACATTTTTTCGCCACATTCATTTCTATTACGTTCTGTCTTATTTACGCGTGTACAACGATATTCGCAGAAAAATTCCTATCAAAACATATTTCTATTGCGAAGAATAGAATATCATTTATTTACACGATAAGGCAAACTTACTTTTAGTAAAACTACAATACTACAGAACAATTGCAGGAGAATTTGTTTGCTTTACTATCACCGAAGTAATACTTTCCTCCTGAAATTAGCGATTAAAAAAAGAAAAAAATAACGGAAGGAAACACAGGAGAGAATCGTAATATAAGAATCTTACAGATTTATATAATAAAATTGTACTAAAAGAAACAGATCTCATAATTTAATATTCTCACTCGAATCCTAGCTGAACGAGCTATGAGTTACATGAAGAACCTGATATGTACAAGTTTTATACATTTTTATATGGAAATTATACGAAGAACGTTCGTGCAATCAATTTAGTAAAATAAACGTGAAGTTCACTGTAGTACGTACTTCCTCGTTTGGTTCAGCATCATCTTTAAAAAGAATATTATTAGTCCAACAATCGCCGTGACAAAAGACTGTAAGGGGTCCTCTAACAGCAGCGACTTCGCTCATTGTACGAAAAAATACGTCGTCGTTCAGGAATGCTCTGAATTTCTCCATTATCTCTGGTCTCTTGGGTTCCACGCGGGCAGAAAGACCTTCGGACACCATTTCGATAGCGTTCTTCGCAGCTTCTTGATAATACTGTCGGTACCATTCTTCGTGTTCCGTTCGAAAAAACACCTCTCGTATACCTTGACCTCCATCTGGATCTGTCAATCTCGCAAACTCTTCCGGCCTTTGAAACACGTGTTACGTACATACGTGAACTATGCATTGAAACTTAATACTTACGTATTTGGAATATACTCATACGCAAGCATGCATTCACTCATTTAGATAGAAGAGAAAAAATAGGAAGAGAAGACAATGACAATGTTCAACTTGCCTCATTTCTCGAAGCGTTAAACTGAGTGCATGAAAGCCAGCCAACGCTTTTAATGCTCTCTTCAAATGGTCAAGCTCGAGTCCCTTCCTTCTATCTGCCATCTTAAAACCTCTTTCTCTTAAATCCTCCATAGCGATAAGATCGATTCGTGCCGCATAGATTTTGGCAACGCCGTTGAACACAATATTGCCGTCAGTTTGCAACTTGTTCAGGGTAGGCCACACGTATTCATAGAATGCCACCTCGTTTCGAAAGAGCAGTTCGCTTTTGTACGCCTCCCGATGTTCTCTCGATCGAGGTAACACTTTGTAGATGATAGCGCGCTCGTAATTGATCCATTCAATCGATCCACTAGTTGTTTGCCTGCGTTGTTGACCTTTCACTCGTATACGGTAAAGCATAGACGTGTAATTGTCGCCTCTTCCTGATCCAGGTTCTTCTTCCAAATTATTAATCTCCACGTCAGGTTCGTCTTTCTTTATTAATTCACGTACAGTCTCCAATGTAAGACGCGCATCTTCTCCTTTCTTGTCCATCACTCTACTCGCTGTCCAAGCAAGACCAATAATCTTGGTTTCCCTCGAATACGTTTATAAAAGACTTCTTCTCAACGATCTCCCGAGGTTTGGTTTAACGTTCTGGTATCGGTTGGTACCGTAGTACTCCACTCCTTCAAATGGTCGAGTGAGTTACGATGTTAAGCTATGCAATGCAGGAAATAAGTATTTGAGTGACAAGAGGATAGTACCTCCCACTGCTATACAACTTAATTTATTAATCGTACGTACCCTACCTAGAGGGACAAGGACATTAATATCTTTCAATGACGCGTGTAATTTTTATTCTTTGAATGACATATTGATTGAAATTCTTCATAAACTTTATGTGTAACATAGCAACATATCAGTTTAAGTTCTCGTTTTAAACGTAACAGAAAGATATCAAGAAAACAACGACAAGCTCTTACAAATATTTCTTTATTCCATTGATTTGAAATTAGTTTCGTTCTGATTATCAAAACAACTTCCTACATCATCTTTCATTAAAGCTTGCAATTTCTCAAGTTCATCGTTAGTGAGATTTTCCTTATTATCATACAACGTTTTAGCCATTTCCATAGTGTGTTGGAATCCTACGTTTATACTGTATTCGAGAACAAGCTGAAATGAAAAGAAAGGAGATGATGTTTCGCACAAAAGCAAATACGTTATGAAAATAACTATATAAACACATACAAGAGCTTCTGTAAAATAATGCCCTGAAATACATAGCTCAAATAATTCGTCTACTTGTAGTCTGGTCATTGTTGGTACAAACGAGTTGAAATTATTGATGGCGTATGTTAAAATATTCATAGCACTTTCTGCATCACCGCTTTTTAGTAAGATTATGGCTATGGAAGCGACAGTACCAGTTGAAATTTGTATCCTTCCCAGTGTTACCATTTCCTTCTAAAAGATAGTCTTTCTTAGGTGATTCATCGTTAATGGTAACGTTTCACTACAACGCGTGCAAATACCCAACCTTCATATGTTCCCAAATTGTCTTAGCCGCACTTGCGATAACTGCTTTTGTTGACGGCTGAACTTGTGAAACTATACGCGACATTGCTTGCATTGCAAGCATACTTATGTCTGAGTTCAAATTACCGAGCGTATCTATATCTGACCAGAATCTCGGTAAACACTCTGCTATCTCTTCTGTTGAACACACTTCCATAGAAGTTAAAATTTCTTTAAAAATGTGATGATTCGGTACGTAAAAATACGGCACAATTTTCTGGTAATGTTTAAAGAAATCTTGGAGCGTGTTTGTTGATAGCATTAACAATAAATACGAGTGAAAGAAAGCACTTTCCTGTAATTAGAACATCTGTTATTCAGGTAATCGCCAGGTAAGTACTTCGTGTAATCAAAAGAAGCGCACTTTCACAAAATCGTATAAAAATTTATAATTGTCTCCAGTGAAAAGAAAATCGAACACTTTTTGACCAGTCACTTTATCGCGATAAGTGTAAAAGGCTGTGTCGATGGCTGTGATAAAAAATCTTGCATCTTCCACGTCCTGCATAGTGAAACTCTGTTGTGCAACCGAGTTTAAAATGTCCATGAAACAACCGTATCCTATATCGCCTGGAAAAATATATAACTTTGGTAATCTTCACCTGTGCAAGTAAATATGATAATAGTTAAAGGAATGTTTACCTGCTCGAGTAAATATACTAATAGCATAATCATATGTCGCTAACGAAAATTTTATATTAATTCTTTTGAATTCAATAAGTAAATGTTTTGCAAGGCTCTCAGCTGTGATAATATCTGAAATTGAAGATGCTACGCTAAGAGCAGCATTCAATGTTCTAACGTTTGGTGCAATTTTTTTGTCGTTCATATCTCTAAGAATATTGTATAATGAACTTTCTAACTCCAAATTATCATCACGGTACAACATTGGAAGTACGGTGATAATATAATTGTAAGTATTGATATTTAATGGAATATCGTTTATCTGACAATGTTGAAACAACAACCAGGCCTCTTGAAACTAAAAAATTTCAGTTAATTTAATACTACATTTTGGTAAACTATTTCATAGGTAAACTAAAATTATTATACTTTTTTCCACAACATGTAGCCACAGATCATAGCATTATGAGCCTTGGATACTGTCACGGAATCTTGAGTTATCAAGAAATTATATAATTCTTCTCTTATTGCATTGGGCCTGAAAAATGAAATTGTTGAAAATAATAGAGATCTTAAAAGCTTTTCACAAACTTACGTCCATATCTTGGTCAATTTTGTATTAAAGAACCATTGTTTAGTTGATATCATTTGAAATACATCCTCTTTACCATTAGTGAAACACAATAATTCTAAAAGACTTTGTTTGGCTGCATTGGAAACATCACCATCCAACAGGTCGTAAATATTTAATGCATTTGAGACGTTTGTTTCTGCTATAGCTTGCAATAATGCCTCTTCCGATGCTTCACTTTTATCTTTGCATACCTTTTGTGGTACAAATGCCTATACAGTGTAAAAACAAAAAATGAAAGACCATTAAACACTAAATTTAAATAAACAGATAATGGTATTAGAAAATATTTACTTTGATTCTTGGTACTGAAAGGTCTTTTGGAAATAAATTTGCATGTTCTTTGTGAATCCACATTGCTGTATCTTTACCAGACTTATATGACAATGCAAAAATATTATAGTCCAGTTTTTTCGTTGGAATTAAGTAGGGATCATCATGAAATATGTAACGAGTTCTTATCGGATCTTCTAACACTGTACGTTCAAGCGCCTTTAACATAGAACAGAATTTTATATAATTCTATAATAAGATTTCAAAAAGGTTTAAAATAAGATTTTCTTGCTTAGTTACACGTAAAATATCAGTAGGTTTCCGTTCTATCCTAGGTGGTATTTGTATTTCAGAACTTAATGTCGACAATAAAGACTGTGATCGGTGTAACCAACAGCATGAAGACCTGATAAATATTTGTTTACATAAGAATCATACTTATGACATTCATCAAATGAAGAAAAAGAAACAATTATTAATACGATAAAGCAATTCATATTAGATTAAGTTAACTATTTAGTTGATTTTTCGAAAATTATATTTTACTAACCTGTACGAAATACACATCAAATGATTCATTTTACGTGTTTCTTGACAATGATTTATTAAGAAAATTATACGTTGTGTTAAACTGTAATAAATATGTAACAACAACAAAATCTATACGCACAAAAGTACTTAATATAGTACTTTGTATGTAGCTTTCCGTCTCGTTAGTCGTATAAGAGCAGGAGCAGGCTGCAAGTAGAAAGAAAGTGTGTGCGAACGTATATGTAGGTACATACATGCAGTTACCCTAAACGCTCTACTGGTAAGCATTTGTACAATTGCCTACCTGTAGGCTTTATTTTTTTCTCAAAGTAACAGAATCCATGGGTATATTATATATGTTAAAAATAAAATTAGTATGCTCTTGTGTTGTATCTAAGAATTCTAATAGTTTACAATTCAACTTGTAATTTTCAAAACAAAACATTGGAAATTTAATTAAATTTAATTAAATATTTCATATTGGTGCTATTTTTTCAAAAAATACAAAATCAGATACGTGTACGAACTTATGAAACATTAAACGCTATATATAGAAAATATATATATACATATATATATATAGAGAGAGATTTTTCATCAAATGTAAACATGGGGTAACAATAACAATATTATTTGTCGGCTACTGAGAAATAAATATATAGTCGGTAAATAAGTATCGTGGAACTGTACAACGTATCATTTTGGTCAGTTTTAACGCCGTAAAGAATTCTTTTTGAAATTGCAACGAATTCGTATGTAGAGGCTCATGTGTACGACAGCTGCACATTCGTATCTAGAAGATAGAGATTCTTTCAGTGCATTTATTGTTTAGCATATGAATGGTGCACGTATACACGCGTGTTTAGATGAGCTAGCATGCACACATGTCAAGTGTACCCTTTGACATATTATACAGAAGTGAATAAAGTTTATAAGGAAGCCAAAACCAGTCTGTGAAGAAAAGTAGTTCTCTTTTGCCGTGAGAATATAGTCCCATGGGCCGTGGATGGACAAGCGCGCGCGCTCCTTCGCGCAGTCTGCTCTAATGTCGTTGTGTTGCCGCGTCTACATATACTGCACACACGTGTGTAGTAGGTACGCGCACATTGGGAAGAAGCCAGGTGTTTTATTTCAAACCGTGAGACTCTTTAAGGGGGATGCTTGCACCACGTTGAACCACACATCTTTTACCTGAAGAATATGAATGAAAAACAGGATTCGTGTTCCACCAGGACGACCCCACTGCTCTTATTGTGTTTTCTTATTCGATCGAACGTAATGTAACCCCTCGTACGTAATTTTTCCACGCTTCTTTTCAACAAATTTCCCTTTCTCTCTTTTTCATGTGCTGTTTCTTTCTTCCACTCGGCAAGAAAGAATCGGATAGTATCTGATGAATAGAATCTCGACAACGATATAAATTAGGATTGTGTTATTGTCGTATACATATATAAAAACCACAGAACACCATCATGTTGGATATGTACATATACTACATAACGTTGTTATTTCGTAACGTGCATGCATCAACACGATCGAATCTGTTCATTCGAAATCCACCGTTAAAAAAGGAATGTTTCCCCTTATAATGGTCTTTTTTCTTTCCTTCATTTTGAATTTATTATCGCAGACATCTTGACCTTGACACAGTTGTGTTGTTTTCCTAAACAATGTAATCCATGCAACACATTATTTACCGTTGCGCCCTTCACGCGTTACCTTCTACCCTTCATTTCGTAACATGATTTGTTTCGGATATTTGATTTTAAATCTGTCGTAGAAAGTGTTTTCAACGCGTTACTTTAATGTATCTTGTACTTTCGTATAACGCTAGTCTACCTATCAAAACGAAAAATCTTATTATAACGTTAAATGACTTCAGGGAATAAGGCTGGAATGATACATCTACACAATATTAAATTTTTTCATTTTATTTCAAAACTCAATTTGTATACAAACGTTTTCTATAAACTAAAAGGATGTATTTATAAACAACAGAATTTTACAAATACGTAAATAAACAAATTTAAGGTTTAGGGTTGTTTAGGCTAATATGTGCAATGTTTTCGCTTGGCATAAGAGACACAGCGGATGATCGATCGAGCAGATCCAGCAGGCCGGAATGAGTGCAATTTGATCTAATCTACAACAAATAATGCCCACATCCCAACCTGCCGGTATGCTCGATAAGTTCGCCGAAAACAATCACGTTGTCCAATGACGCCGCATCATTCGTTCAGTGGATTCCCTTGTTTTAGTTGATCGTTGGTATGCATTGCATTTTGATAGGCCGGGATAAGTGCAATATTGACAAATTCTATAAGCACGAAACATTGTCACAAATCTCGACCTACCTTCGATGCAAGCCTTGATTGAATTTCCTCGCTGAACTTAACACGATCGAAACTATAAAATATTGTTTGCTCGATATACGTACACGTACATATACATAAATAGTTTGGCAATAAGCGTTCTTTTGTTTCTCTAACTCGGTCTTTGTGTAATTATTTCCGAATAAGAGAATATTTTTGCAGCACAATGTTAAAATGAACATTTCGAAGAGATCGTCGCAGAGCAATGGTAAACTATCGTCAGCTTTATGATTCCACTAAATGTGTGTCGTGTGCTAATGGTTTTTCGTACACGAGATTCAAACAGAGCACGACCCCGGCGTAAACATGAGTTGAGCAACTGTAGCTTAAACAACGGAAGAATGAGAAATGAAACACGTTCACGCTCTCGAAAAAAAAAGAAAAAGGAATATCGATACTTTCGAGATTTTTCGATGTAAACTATATGAAGTTCGTTAACATGAGTGTACCTAGACGGAGAAACGTTTTGGCGGTACGGTAAACTTACAATTTTGAACTAGCTTGACCGTTGTTATTTTTTATACGAATGTTCGAAAATGGCATCGAGACCGTCGAAAGATAGCACGTAAATACATACTTGACACGAGTACGTCAATCGGATCATCACAAAAATTGAAATGCGACAATATCGTGATATCGCGAATCCACGTTTCGTCGAGGCAACACGTTTTGCCGGCGAAGCACACCCTAACCCCCAAATCGAAACGAATTACGTCTTTTGGCAGTTACTACATAGTACAGATCCCGCGCCTCTGGACTATCCTCATTTCTCGTCTCTCCTCGTCTTTGTTTCGACTTGTCGCGTGTTTCGTCATTTGATCCTGTCGCACCTACGCTTGAAAATGCGTATGCCGTGGCAACGAAAACGGCGCGAAATCACGAGAAAACGTACGATCCGAAAGTTTTCCGTGCACTAGCACTTGCACTACTGTCGATTTACGGTACTCTGCCATGGCGTGTTTTTCAAATCCGCTGAAAACGGTGGTGTTGCAGTAATGGATAATATCGAGACGTCGAAAGATCAGCTTTGAAAACTGTTGCGTTACGTTGCAATATGTTGCGATCCGTTCCAAATTCGTCTTCGGTTTTCTATCGCGAGTAACGAGTATCCGGCGAATTCGTAGAACACCGTAAAGGCCGCGGCGACGTTATCCCACGTAGGGAGTTCTCGACAAACTGCTGCCTGTGACCAGGTGTCCCGACTCTTTATTCCTTTTGGGCTCCCAAGTACATGAAAGCCCCCGGCTATATAGGTGCCCCTTGGGTCCGATGGTGGGGGCTTATTCTTATTTAACAGCAACGAAGCAGGAACACCAGCAACAACCAACTTTGAGGCCTCCCTTCCTTTTTCTCTTTCATCCTTTTTTTTCGGTCCCACTCTATTCTCTCTGTCATTCTCCTGCAAGTCTACCTCCGATTCTTCCAACTTCCTCTCTGGTGTCTTCTCTCTCTCTCTCTCTCTCTCTCTCTCTCTCTTTCTCCCTTTCTCCCTCTTACTTACTCACTCTGCTTCTCTCCTTCCCTCCCTTCCTTTCCGTCGTCCCTTTTCCTCTTCCTCCGGATCGCCCCTTCTTCTGTTCTTAAAAGTACATATCCCTCTCTGTCTTCTTTTCAATCGAGCAACCGTCCTCTCTTCCTCTTTCTTCGTTCTTCCCTGTACCCGCTTTGTGTTCGTTGCAGATCTATCGGCAAAGGTAAAGCCCGCCAAAATTGTATCAGCTGTCCCGAATTTTGCTCCGCCTGTCAAGTACGTGACGTATGCTGCTCTTCTTGTCCTTCTGTCTTCTCGTCAGGTATCCTCCCGTGGGAGAGAGAAAAAAAGGGTCAGTCGAATTTTACAATAGCAGGGCTATTAGAAGCGATGCAACGACGTTTTGCGGACTCGTTTTAGAGACGCGAATTATCACAAAATCTTTCTTACGTTTTGTCTACGAACACGTTCCGTTTTTTTTCCAGTTTCTTGTTTCATTCCTTTTCGTGAAAATAATTTCCATTATTACCAAAATTGCAGTATCGCAAGACTGCAACATTATAAAAATGTAAATATTTTTGGTATCAAGACCGAGCTCTAATTATTCCATTTTCGTATCTATAATAAATTCTTTTCATTTGTTCCTCAGCTTGTAAATAAAAATAGACAATTCCGAGAAAGAAGCCTCGCGACTCGTTTTTATAATTGTTGATAATCGGCGATTATAAAAATGAGCTGCAAGGCTCGAATAATTGTTTCTCCTCTTTCCAAATTGAATTTCTTGTACTCATTCCTCTCCCGTATCCGAAAATATGTTCAGTAGATGATTGAAACTTTTAAGAAAACCGTCGCAATATGTTGCATTCAATAATTGATTGCATTACTCTTATAATTAACTAAATATACAAATATAAGTGAGAATCGTTATAATTTATGATAATAAATAAAATAGAAAATGCAATTATTCTTTTTTTAATAGGTTGACGAGATACGTAATTAAATTATTGGCAAGGTATATTCATCGATGTGTTGAAAATTCAAATGCCGAATACAGTAAATTTTCTNGGCAGTTACTACATAGTACAGATCCCGCGCCTCTGGACTATCCTCATTTCTCGTCTCTCCTCGTCTTTGTTTCGACTTGTCGCGTGTTTCGTCATTTGATCCTGTCGCACCTACGCTTGAAAATGCGTATGCCGTGGCAACGAAAACGGCGCGAAATCACGAGAAAACGTACGATCCGAAAGTTTTCCGTGCACTAGCACTTGCACTACTGTCGATTTACGGTACTCTGCCATGGCGTGTTTTTCAAATCCGCTGAAAACGGTGGTGTTGCAGTAATGGATAATATCGAGACGTCGAAAGATCAGCTTTGAAAACTGTTGCGTTACGTTGCAATATGTTGCGATCCGTTCCAAATTCGTCTTCGGTTTTCTATCGCGAGTAACGAGTATCCGGCGAATTCGTAGAACACCGTAAAGGCCGCGGCGACGTTATCCCACGTAGGGAGTTCTCGACAAACTGCTGCCTGTGACCAGGTGTCCCGACTCTTTATTCCTTTTGGGCTCCCAAGTACATGAAAGCCCCCGGCTATATAGGTGCCCCTTGGGTCCGATGGTGGGGGCTTATTCTTATTTAACAGCAACGAAGCAGGAACACCAGCAACAACCAACTTTGAGGCCTCCCTTCCTTTTTCTCTTTCATCCTTTTTTTTCGGTCCCACTCTATTCTCTCTGTCATTCTCCTGCAAGTCTACCTCCGATTCTTCCAACTTCCTCTCTGGTGTCTTCTCTCTCTCTCTCTCTCTCTCTCTCTCTCTCTTTCTCCCTTTCTCCCTCTTACTTACTCACTCTGCTTCTCTCCTTCCCTCCCTTCCTTTCCGTCGTCCCTTTTCCTCTTCCTCCGGATCGCCCCTTCTTCTGTTCTTAAAAGTACATATCCCTCTCTGTCTTCTTTTCAATCGAGCAACCGTCCTCTCTTCCTCTTTCTTCGTTCTTCCCTGTACCCGCTTTGTGTTCGTTGCAGATCTATCGGCAAAGGTAAAGCCCGCCAAAATTGTATCAGCTGTCCCGAATTTTGCTCCGCCTGTCAAGTACGTGACGTATGCTGCTCTTCTTGTCCTTCTGTCTTCTCGTCAGGTATCCTCCCGTGGGAGAGAGAAAAAAAGGGTCAGTCGAATTTTACAATAGCAGGGCTATTAGAAGCGATGCAACGACGTTTTGCGGACTCGTTTTAGAGACGCGAATTATCACAAAATCTTTCTTACGTTTTGTCTACGAACACGTTCCGTTTTTTTTCCAGTTTCTTGTTTCATTCCTTTTCGTGAAAATAATTTCCATTATTACCAAAATTGCAGTATCGCAAGACTGCAACATTATAAAAATGTAAATATTTTTGGTATCAAGACCGAGCTCTAATTATTCCATTTTCGTATCTATAATAAATTCTTTTCATTTGTTCCTCAGCTTGTAAATAAAAATAGACAATTCCGAGAAAGAAGCCTCGCGACTCGTTTTTATAATTGTTGATAATCGGCGATTATAAAAATGAGCTGCAAGGCTCGAATAATTGTTTCTCCTCTTTCCAAATTGAATTTCTTGTACTCATTCCTCTCCCGTATCCGAAAATATGTTCAGTAGATGATTGAAACTTTTAAGAAAACCGTCGCAATATGTTGCATTCAATAATTGATTGCATTACTCTTATAATTAACTAAATATACAAATATAAGTGAGAATCGTTATAATTTATGATAATAAATAAAATAGAAAATGCAATTATTCTTTTTTTAATAGGTTGACGAGATACGTAATTAAATTATTGGCAAGGTATATTCATCGATGTGTTGAAAATTCAAATGCCGAATACAGTAAATTTTCTCAACTATCCTACAGTTTTTAAACAAAACTAGACAACTTGGGAAGAGAAAATATAATTATTTGAGCCTCACGACTTGTTTTTATAGTAGCCGATTGTCAATCGGTATAATTGTCGGTATAATGTCAATAATATAATCGTATACCCATTTTCCAAATTTTCAATTTTTTTTTGTTACAAGCTCAAGTACAATTTGAGAAAATTTACTGTATTTCGTTAATCATTTTGTAACTATTTCCGTCAAAGTATCTACATTCTTTTGAATAGCATTATACGCATACGTACATGGTTGAAAACTGATTTGTGTAAATGCATCGTTCGCGATCACTCTTGTTGCGATAAATGCTGAATTATTCGAATGTTCAACAATCTGTCGGTAATGGTATAGATTCGTACGTTTTTCACCTGGAACAGCTGAATCTTGCATTGAGCAACACGTGCTCCTGTCATCACGCCGCAACTTCGCTTAGATGGACTAACGTGTTACTGGTAAACAGATGTAAGGGTAAATCGGTGAAATATGAAATACGGGATACGAAATACGAGATAGGAGATGCGAGATTTAATCTGAAAGCATCGACTCGAAAGTAGTATCCTTTCGAAAAGTCGAGAATCTGAAGTTTCTAGAATCGATGTTATTGTTTCGGACAGTGGTGACACATGCGTACCGGTATAAAGCCGAAGATCGACACGTAAAGGAAATGGGAGTGATTGAGAACCACTTGTAGGAGGACAGCTGCGCTGTGAGCGCATCTGCTGTCGGTTGCGCGGGCACGCGCGCTTACATATCCTTATTTCTACGTCGGTACTACTATATACTCTATATACATATACAAGTATTATACTATAACGTATAGGTGTACGCTGGTCGAACTTGTACGATACTTCCATACAATCTCCTGCTCTGTTCTCCTTATTTCTATCCTTTTTTTCGCATCCTCCTTTCATTTTTCCTTTCGTTCTTTATTTTTCTCCGGGCTGCTCTTCTTCTCCCCTGCCGTTGGCTAGTTCGAGCAGGCAATGTTCCTTTTTTCTCACCCCTCGAAACTGCCACCACGGCATCGTAAGCAAGCGAGCAAGAGCTCGGATCCCGTTTTCGACACGGACCTTCCAGCGGACTCTGTGCATCTTCTCCAGTTGTATTGGGGGTTGACGGACCGTCATCTTCCCTTTAATACCGTCCAGAACGAGGATTTACAATCCGTGAGAGAGAGGGTCTACCCGTGTTTATGGCGTATACGACGGCTGCCTGCTTTCGAAAGCCTCGTGCGCCTAGTTCATAATACCCTACGGGGCTTATACACGGACGATGGGACCGGGCTCTCAGTACGGTGCGCGCGTATCCGTGTGCAGCTTGCCACCCGGTACCGTGCACCGTACCACCCGAAAATTTTCTTTGTCCTCATTGTCCCGTCTCGACCATTTTCACTGTACGAGTTTACGAGCCTGCTGCGCTTCTTAGGAAATTGTCGATTTTCTCCGCCAAGGGTTTTCCCATCTGCCAGGCCTGTTCCGTTCCCTTCCTTTCTTCTTTCTCCTGTGTTCATTTCTACCCGCGAGCCTACTACCTCTCGGGATTTTCAGCTCGGCCTCTTTGTCACTTTGCATACCTGCCCCGTTTAAGAAAACCGATTTAACGACAATATCCTTCGACATTCTCCGAAATACAAAATTTTGTCGTACTGGAAATAAAGTTTTACTGCACTGGAAATAAAGTCGATGGATATTTTTTCTTTCGTAAAAATTTCCGTTTGCGAATCTGTAGAAAAAGATAAACATATCTTTGTTCTACAGTTCTTCGTTTGTGCTTTGTTTAAATCGAATTTTTCAGAATAGGATATATTCCGAAATATTTTCGTTGAAACACGCTACTGCGTGGAATGGGATGGTCGAAATGGAATGAAATGGAATGGAATGGCATCGATGCGCCGTATGTGCTTCACACCGTGAGGCCCAGATGGCAAGCGTTGAATCCCTTGCTTAAATTTTAACCGTGATACGAGGTTGTTGATTCCTTGACCACCTGCTCTACGCGTAGATCAAAACTATAACTAAAAATCTGAAAATTTTCCACGCCACGCTTTGAAAGTTTCAAAATTGTACGCATATCCTCGCACAGAAATAGATGCGCGCAATGTTCACGCACATCAGTTGATATCGTTTCGAAGATACAAAATCTATATCTAAGCTTGTCGATAAGCCGATAGATCCATTCATTTTTCGCTGCAGCATCGATGGAACGGTATGTACGGATAATATTTCTAAAATTAGTACCACGGTAGGGTTACTATCAACCGTATTCTCACGACAAGGATTGCAAGCTCCACGTCTGTCGTGCTGATTTATTTCCTCGGAACTTGTAGTAAAAAAAGCTATTGAAATACTGCGCGTAAAAAACGGTCGTTCCAGGCGACGTTACACTTTGGGACGGGTTTCAAAAGATCTTTGTTCCCGTTGAGGAAGTGTATCCGTGGTCGAGTGCAAACGTGTTTGTACTCCGTGTATACGAACGCTCTATATCGTGTGCAACCGGAAGTTAAAACATACATAATGTTTCTGGGTGCGCCGGTTTGTGCTATTTTTCGCTTCACTGACAAATAAAAACAATGTAATGATTAATCAAGATTCAAAACACAGGCTTAAACGCGATCTAATCCATCTTCGATATTGAATTCTTCTCATTTCTTCATTTTCAATATTAGTATGTTTCAAACGCTTTCCTCAGTGACGACTTTGTATATATTCATGATATTGTGTTTTGTCAGTATGGTTTTGCGTGTATCTATACACGAAAACATTTTAATTAATTCTTCCAGATACGAAGTACAGTGGATGGAAAAATATTAAATTTAATCCGCTTTAATGCAACTCCGTAAATTGCATGCATACTTCAGAATGAACGGAGCGAATAACCTTGTATTGACAATACAGAATCCCCGTAATCGTGTCGATAATATTGCTGCATCGCTGTTGGTAAATAGAATTTATCTGTTATCGACGGAGCAAATAAAAAGTATAAAAACTTGTAAGCGGGAAATGAAAGAAATGTGGGTCAATCCCAAGCCCTTTCACTAGCAGGAATTACTAACACTGACTAACGCCCAGCTTTTATAATGAAGGAAGGAGAAAGTATGTATTCCCGTTAAAGACAGTCTTATACGTTTTGCACCGAAACATACTGCTTCTCCAAAATTCAAACAGAAGATACAGTGAAATTATTTGAGAATTAATCATGTGATACCTGTACAAACTTTCTAATTAAATGTTGTTAGTGACCGATGAAAATTACTTCATTCGTGATATATTAACATTTCGTATCAAATGTTTTCCCTTTCAGTAAAATCTTCAAAAATTAACGATGTCTATAATAAAAGACAATACCGTTCAAGTGGTGTTCATTTCTTTGCTTTTGGATCTTTTAGCATTTACTATGATACTACCACTGTTACCAGCTTTGTTAGATCATTATAAAGATGTAGAAAGCGATCAAGGTTTATATTTTAAGATTTTACATTATATACAAAGCGCAAGAAAATTATTTAATGCTCCTGACAAAGTTAGTACAGTACTATATGGAGGTTAGTCAATTTTTTATTTTCATTTCTTATTGGGATTTAAATTCTTCTATCTGTACTAATTCAGAACATTTAATTTGTAGGCTTCCTTGGTTCCATGTACTCCTTTTTACAATTCTTGGGTTCGCCAATTGTAGGAGCATTATCTGATATATATGGAAGAAAGCCTCTAATGTTGTTAAGTTTGACAGGCATTATGTTGTCTTATTTGTTATGGGCATTATCTTCTAATTTTACTATATTTGTGATAGCCAGATTTGTTGGCGGTATTAGCAAAGGAAATATTAGTTTGTCAATGGCTATTATAACAGATGTTACATCTCCGAAAACTAGAGGAAAAGCCATGGTACATGTAAAAAGAATCTATTAATTAGATGTATAATAGCGCATATAATGGAAATGTTATGAGTTAGAAATTTTTGTATGTTTTAGGCATTGGTTGGAATAGCTTTTTCCATAGGTTTTATTGTAGGACCAATGATAGGAGGATTTTTTGCTTGGAGCTCAAGCAATAATAGAGAAGGAACTTGGTACTTAGTACCAGCTATGTTTGCATTTTTCTTAACTGCAGGCGATTTATGTTTTATTGCTTTCAATTTAAGAGAATCACTGCCAAAGAAATGTAGAGCAGTGTCCCTAAAGTCTGGTATAACTGGAGCTATTGCTTATATCAATCCAATAGATCTGTTTCAATTTAATGGAGTATCTGGCTTAAGCCTGCAAGGTGAATTTTATTTAATTGTTGAGCCACGAAGTTTAATTCATTAATAAAATTTATTATTAATTGTTATTGTGTTTCAGATAAAAAATGTCTGAAGACTCTTGGCTATGTATACTTCATGTACTTATTTCTTTACAGTGGCTTAGAATTTACGTTAACGTTTTTGACCCATTATTTATTTGAATTCACAAGTATGCAACAGGGCTGGATGTTTTTGGGCATTGGATTAGTAATGGCCCTCTTGCAAGGAGGTTGGGTACGAACCATTCCTCCAAATAAAACAAAGTCTACAGCAGAATTGGTAAATGCCTATAAAACTTGGTATTATTATCAGGCATTGATTAAATTAATTATTAAAATTTGAATATTTTCTATAGGGCTTATGGTTAATAATTCCAGCATTTGTATGCATTGGAATAGCAGAAAATCTGCTAATGCTATCTATTGGGGTACTTCTATTTGCAATTTGTAAGTATATACAAGATAATGAGATGAACATGTGTATAGAATGAGTATTACATATAAGTCAAATACTACAAACAAGATTTTTTTTATGCATCATAGCCACTGCCATGGTTGTAACTTGTATGATGACCCTGGTATCACAAATTGGGCCCGAGAATCAAAAAGGAGTTATAACAGGTGTATTTCGTTCTCTTGGAGCATTGGCTAGGGCTTGTGGACCTATCATAGCCTCTTCAGGTAATGATAAAGTAAAGTAAATATTTGTAGTTCTGTGTAAGTAGAGAGGTATACCGTTGTACATTTCATTACTTTTATTTTAGCTTTCTGGTGTATTGGAAGTAAAACAACATATCTTATCGGGGCTGTACTTCTTGTATTTCCACCATTAATTCTGCAGGGCATAAAATAATATTAAAAATAAGGATTTTAAAAAATTTCTAAAAGTATTACCTCGGATAACATTATATTTATGTAATTATATACATATTGAGAGATAGTATTTTTATATATGTACAAAAATGTTTTATGGTTATATTACAAATTTTCTATATATTTATTGTATACTGATGAAACAATGTATTTTAAATATATGTATACATATATGTATATGTGAGATATATACATACACATACATATGTAATATGTGTGGTATGAAAGACTATTATAAATCGAAAGTCTAGTTATTGAATACACTTCATACATTCGATTCATCAAGATAGATAGGTTATACGTAAGGATAAGTCATCTTTGTGATAAATTGAGTAAATGGTATTGATTGGTGATAGAAAATTCTAAGATTGATGTAACTATGGATATCTGTATTTGTTTCCATGTGTTGTTACGTTCCTGGGGAAAATCATACGGCCGCGCAAGCGCAATTAGGTTTTCAGTCATGTGACTCTCCCTTCCCTTTAAGACCGCGCCATTTACGGTAAGAAATTCTCGGAATTGCTTGGCCACAGCACTTCGTCGTCGTCCGCGCTGATGGGATCGTTGGAGTAACACAGAAGGGGAAGGAAAGTTATTGATGAGATTCGCGCGTGCGACCGGTCCTCGCGATCATTACGTTTACGATTATTTTATCAGTTCAAAAGTTATATCTTGAACGAATCGAGCGTAGCAACAAGGAGATAGCTCAGCGAACAAAATCTAGTTGCTTCTGTCTTCGGACTAGCAGCAGGTAAGTACGAATAGCTCTTTGAACGAACTTCTTCTTTCGCCCCTCCCGCTTGACTATTTTACGCGTTATTTCGATATGTCACGTTCTTTCGTATGTAAATATTGATACTGATATTTCTACATTAAATTTGATCGAAATGTTGAGTAATGTAGCGAAATAATCAAAATTTCATGAGTATTTCATAAGTAATGTAATATATTAGAGTTGATGAGAATTTCTGGATCGGTCATTTGAATTTTTGAGGTATGTATCCGCATGGTTTTCCTGCAATCTTATCGACCTTTGTTTTTACTTTGTTGTGTTGTAATCTCGGCTTTTTGTAGCCTCGCTTAAGAAAATGTGCATACATAAAATCTTCAGTTGTGTTTATTTAATATCATATCTATAAAATAGGGGGGGAAAGAAACTGCGGAGTGGCGTTAATTTGTGGTTATATCGAACACTATTATCCCAAAGAGTTTTCAAAGTTTAATTTAAATACAGTTTCTAAGTATTATAAGAAGACAAATTTTTATTAGGAGTCAAGATGGCTCTGTGGGCGAAAACACAACAATTGCCACAAGATGCGTTGCAACAGGTGCGTTCAGTTTATGGAGAACACTTTCCAATAGAAGTTCGTCATTTCCTGTCATCTTGGATAGAAGAACAAATGTGGTAAATATATATATAAATAATTTCACAAACTGTTAATTTATTGTTTATTTCTTCAGAAACATATAATAAGGTATGTGTTATAGGACTGAAATAGAGCCTGATAATCCACAATTCGAACAGTACATAGCTAATATCGTCATATCATTGATACAAGAATTAGAATCTAAAGCAGCATCTTTAAACACAGATGATATGTTTCTTACGAAGATAAAACTAATGGAAGCTGCGAAAAGTTTTCGTGTGAGTTTTGCATATTAATTTATAATCGAAAACAAGGCTATATATACAAAGGTTTGTTGTTCTTACTATGCTCCTTTATTATAGCAGAGATATACACATAACCCCACTACACTGTTTAGAATAATCAGTCACTGCTTAGGAACAGAAATGAAGTTGGTAGGTCAAGTAGAAAATTTAGGAGGAACTTTAATGAGTGTGGCAGGAGGAAAAGTAGGTTTGATAAGCGACGCTATCGCAGAAATAGCGCAACACGTTGAATCCTTAAGGCGCAGAACTCAAGAAACTGGTGAAGATTTGCGAAAAATGGAACAAGAACAAGAAGCTTTTGCTATTAGTTATCACGAGTGTACCAAGCTAAATGCGCATCTTCAACATCTTGCGACCCAGCCACAGAATCAACAGAATATAGATCTAGAAAAGAAAATTAGACGGTAAATAAAGTAACATAACATTTATCTGTTATCTGAAATAAAGCATTTAATTCCTCTAATCAACATTATGAACGAATACTATTGTAGGCAAAAGGAACAACAGGAACAACTATTGAATCATAAAGTAACTGGTTTGATGCAGCTAAGATTAACATTAGCCGATAAACTTAAAGACACCATTACTAGATTAAATAGCTTGCAATCTAGAGTCTTGGACGATGAACTTATTAGGTAAATTTTGTTTTTATCTAGGGTCTATTGTATCATAGAAAATATTTAAACGTTGAGTGCGTGGCCTCATAGGTGGAAAAGGGATCAACAGTTAGCTGGAAACGGTGCGCCCTTTAATAATAATTTGGACTCTATTCAAGAATGGTGTGAAAGTTTAGCTGAATTGATCTGGTTAAATCGTCAGCAAATTAAAGAGGCTGAACGATTAAAACAAAAGTTTGCTCTCGAACCACCCGGAATGCAAGATATTCTTCCCACACTGAATTCGCAGATTACGCAGCTCCTTAGCTCGCTAGTAACTAGTACGTTTATCATAGAAAAGCAGCCGCCACAGGTAATGAAGACCAATACTCGCTTCACAAGTACGGTACGTCTTCTTGTGGGAGGAAAGTTGAACGTTCACATGACGCCTCCTCAAGTAAAAGTCAGCATTATTAGCGAGGCTCAAGCAAATGCTCTTTTAAAGAGCGACAAAATGTCGAAAAACTCTGAAGCAAGTGGCGAAATTCTAAACAATACAGGAACGATGGAATACCACCAAGTGAGAAAGAATATTTTTTATCTGCTTCCTACTATCATTGTTCGTACTTATGTATTATATTGTATTGAATGTATAAAAAAATGAATGTTTTCCGTAGGCAACGAGACAACTCTCTGTAAGCTTTCGCAACATGCAATTGAAAAAGATCAAAAGGGCGGAAAAGAAGGGAACAGAATCGGTAATGGACGAGAAATTTTCGCTTCTGTTCCAATCGCAATTTAGCGTTGGGGGAGGTGAATTGGTATTTCAGGTTTGGACATTGAGTTTGCCGGTTGTGGTAATCGTACATGGGAATCAAGAGCCTCATGCGTGGGCCACTGTTACGTGGGACAACGCTTTCGCTGAGCCTGGAAGAGTGCCATTCGCTGTACCAGACAAGGTTCCGTGGGGCCAGGTAGCCGAAGCGTTGAATGTTAAATTTCGATCAGCAACGGGTCGTTCTTTAACTGAAGACAACCTTCGGTTTCTCGCGGAGAAAGCGTTTCGTGGTGGCAATGCCGCTGGCCAAGATTACTCTGGTTTGTTATTGAGCTGGGCACAGTTTTGCAAAGAGCCATTGCCCGAGAGGAACTTTACGTTCTGGGAATGGTTTTACGCTGTAATGAAACTGACGAGAGAGCATTTGAGAGGGCCGTGGATCGACGGTTACATATTGGGATTTGTAAGAAAGAAGCAAGCCGAGGAAATGCTGGCCAATTGCGCATCAGGAACTTTTCTTATGCGTTTCTCAGATTCTGAGCTCGGTGGAGTCACCATTGCGTGGGTTGGAGGTACAGCGTCCTGGTTGCAATCTTCGCGAGATTGATATTTCTACAATATAAAAACACGCGTCTTTCCTATAACAAAATACATTACATTCTAGATCAAACCGAGGTATTTATGCTGCAACCATTCACGAGCAAGGATTTTGCGATCCGTAGTTTGGCGGACCGGGTATTCGATCTACAACACTTGCTATATCTCTATCCGGATTTATCGAAGGATCAAGCGTTTTCAAAGTATTACACACCGTTCACAGGTAAATGTCGGTTTGATTGGTCGGTCGTTTCTGTGTACACGCGATACGAATTGAGCTTTTGATACTGGTAATTCGTAATTTGAAACTCGAGTTGAACGGGACGTTGCACGATTTGTCGTAGAAAATCAATCCACGTCGACGAATGGATATGTGAAACCTTTCTTAGTAACGCACATACCTGGTTGGGGTGGACCGGGCGTTGGTGGTCAGACACCGTCGCACTCGTCCGTAATTGGGGTAGGCAGTAGCGGTCAGAGTGGTGCGGGTGGTAGTTATCCTGCAACACCATCTACCATGTTCCAAGCGCACAGTCCTGACCCGTCCGTGACGCGTGATACTCCATCAGTGGCTTCCAGGTCAGTCCCCTGGATCTAAGCTGTCGATCGTATTTCATTTATTTACTAATACTAATATTAATATTAATACTAACACCAATACTAATATCAATACTAATATTAATACTAGTAATTACCATAAGTTACTGCCATAGATATACTTTATATAAGATATGCAAAGATTCCGCTTTTCGCTTTTTTTTATGTTTTCCATGTATGTACATACATTGTACTTAGAGGACCGCGCGACTCGATCGTATTCTATTCTTCTCATTTCTCGAGAAAATCTCGTATATCTTTATCGTCTCTGATGATTACGAGAGTTTTTCTTTTCGAATTGTTGCGAATATTGTTTACACCGTTTACCATTTATATTATCTGTCGCTACATTATTCAATTATTATTACTATTATTATTGATTATTATTGTCATCATTATTCATATCATCATCATCATCACCATTCTCACTACTGTTACTATACACCATCTGAAATTTCTCACGTTGAAACGTAGATACGAAACATTCCCAGGATCCATAACGCTTTGCATGTCTTTTTTTGTATACTATGTGTGCAGACGATGTCAGTATTGTTTCTTTTACGTTCTCACGTTGTTCGAATGTTTAGAAAATATTTACAGTGATATTATGGTTTCATACGTTTTGTAAACCCTTTCTCATGGAATTTTGAACATTTTTACAGTATATTGTGTCGTCAAATGAATATCGTATAGCTAATATTAGTGTTAAGTTGGGTTAAGCAATTATTCTGTCCGTAATTAAGAATATTATAGGTATATCGGAGAATGCTGGATATTCCGAAAGTTGAAAAGTTTTTGAAACAGCACTCACCTTGATTTCGTTTAAGATATTTTGTTTTGAGTATATATTTTTTTCTGTTCGTTCTTTCTCAATCATATCCGAGTTAGTCTTAGCATTTCATCCAGCATTCTGCAACGATATTTGACAAAGTAATTATTAGAGAAGTAAGTATATATTTGCTACGATCATGTTCAGAAATATCGTGGTCAAGTACAACTTGACGAACGATTTTTATCAAAGCTCTCTGAGATCCTTTGGGCGACGATTTCAATCGTCTTTGAGGAATCGAGATTCTCAAAACGTGCATGCTGATCACGCGGTGCTCTTATTATTGCTATAATATGTATAAGATGTAGTTGAAAAAATGTTTGAAATTTTATGAGATCCGTCCAACGGATAACGCGAGCAGAGAGTCAGCGATCTATGGAGACAGTTTGGGAGAACAGATTTGATCGTCGATCGATTATGTCTTTATTTTTCCTTTTCCTTTTCTAATATTTACAATGTGTAGTTTGTAGTATGAATGGGGAAATCAAGGAGAGAGGTTGCTAAGTATATAAAGAACAACGGTCCGTACTTTCTACAATAACAATGAGACTGCCAAATTTTATATGTGTGTTTTTTTAGTGAACGACTTAACCAAGGCTTAAAAAGTAAATAAGGCAAACACGATTCGAGTAAGAAAAGCTGTAGCTTCGCTGGTGGGTGCTGTACGAAAGAAAAGAGCATGTAAGACACTATCGACAGCCCGACCGGATGAACATACATAGGTGCAAAATAGTTTGCTTAACACAAGGTTTCGAAAAACAGAAGGCAAAGGCCTGGAGCAAGCCGGTACAACCACAACAACGGAAAATTGAACATTTAAAACGCTACTCTTAACTAAAATGAATAGACCTAACGCAAACGAAACGCAGCTCCAATCACTATGTATTATAATATCATAGTTATAGAGAACTCTGCTGGCAATTAAACGATACATGCGTTGCGTAGACGATGCTTATTGTTAGCAATACTATCAATTCGGTCGAGGGGACGAAAAGGTAAGGCACAGAGCAAGGCAAGGCAAACGCAGTTCATTTGTCACAATCATCATGACTCGATCGAAGATTCTTCTTGTATTTGTCTGTTCTATGCCTATGTCCCTTGCCGTGTTGTACCGGCTAGCCGGCTAAATCAGTCACGATAGTTTCGAAAAAAGAAATCAAGATACGGATTAAAAAACGAGCAAAACTACAGGCAGAGATTCGAGATTCAAAATTTGGCGTTAGAGCGAGTAATAGAGGGGACTGCGTTACTTGTATCGCGACACGGTCATGTACCGTGCTTGTTATATGTTTCGAATTAGCACGAGACCGCTGTCTATTGCTATGCCAGTGATTGGGGTTGTGTTTTGATTTGTGGTAGCTACGCTCCGGGCCTTGGCCAGTCAAGCGTTGGGCGAGCAAACCCGGACCTGGACTATGTGGAGCTGATGGGTCACGGTGAGCTGCCCTCGTTCGATGAAAATCTCAACTTGGACCACTTTAACGGCTTTAGCTTCTCCGAGCTCATACACTCGTACAACTCGAAGCCGCAGTAGTAGGTATGTCGAAAATAGATGATCGCGATTATACATTTCTCATTTTTACCTACTATCTACCTTCGTGTCCGTTGCTCGCCTTCGTTTTTCAATTGTCAGCAATTTTTGTCGATCCACCGAAAGATCACCGAGACGATCCTGTACACGCGCTTATCGCTGTTATTTAAATGGGGGAGGGATCGGAACTGGAAATGGTCTCGTCGTTTTATCAAACATCGTTCATCGACAATACGTCACAGCACGCGTGTCCCACAAATTATCCTCATCTCAAGTGCAATATAGATCTACATAGAATATGTGTACCCCTTGCTATCTTCTATACTCTATACTCTATATCTGTTGCCACATCTGTTCCTCTCTTTTACGATCACATGCACATGTACACTTGCAACAAACATCTCTAGACACACACGAACACACACATGTACGTACACGGATTATCCTAATTTACAAATCATCAAAACAAATGTATCAGGAAGCGTGATCGGCGCTACTTGTTGTTTCGTTACGATTATAGAAACAAGTATGCCGTGAACGATGCTATTACTATATTATACGAGACAATGTAGTTGTTTTCCTTTTTATTTCTAAATACTTGTTAACGTCGGTCGCACGACGATATTTTGAAAATTTTAAGGCAGTAGAAAGAATCGTTCCAGATTGGATTTACTAATCAGAATCGTGTTTTAACTCAACAGCGCGTTATAAGGTACTCTCTTCTCTTTTACCGATCAGTTTGCTGTTCGTTGCGTACCAACTCTTTCACTCTTTTATTCGTTTTAGTTTGTCAAGCTTTGACGTTTTATTATATAGGGCAAATTAGGAAAACAGTTGCTACAAAATGGTAAGCGATGTATATTTATGATGTATGCGATCACGATGCGAGAAGCACACTGTGTTGTTATATAGAAGAAGGGAAATCGTTCGATGTTGTTCGTCAAACAACGTCGATACATTCTTCTTGTATATTGCGACGAAGTATCAGTGCGCCAAAGGTTTTGTTTGATCGGAATGTAAGGTGAGCGAGAGGAGAATCGATGACAGTTTCGGGTGCGTCTAGACTCTCTAGCGATATCGGGTGATAAGTGATAATAGAAACAGTATAGTAGGGTGTACTGCGTATGTTGTGACAATCAGTTTTGTCTAATACTGTAAATAGCGAAGTTACGGGAGAGAGATTGATAGAGAGAGAGAAAGAGAGAGAACGAGAGAAATATAGAAGTTCTTAATTTATCGATGGAATGTATGTGTAACCGAAAATCTACGATGCTCGAGATTTTTGCAACATCTATGGATAGAATTATATGATAATGACGTTGTGCAATTCGTGTGACCTAACTACGTGCCTTACGATCTTTGAATTCATGGTCGTCATATTTTTTGAGAATTCTTACATAGAAATTTATATATACGATATGTATACTATATAAAAGTCTTTGGTGAAATACTTTTTGTTTTTCCTCTCCAAAATGATTCGGAAACGCGAAGACAGTGCAATTATCGGTCAAGCATATTTTTAGATATCGTTCTTTCGAGATCTATTCGATGAAATCATTATGCTTTCAACTCAACGCGCGTACACCATTAATCGTCATACAAAGAAAAACGATGATCGATTTTCGGAAATAAAGATATCTCTCGTAAGTACATATTTAGATGTTAAACTTAGAGAGCTGTTGTCGTCGGTGCGAGTGTAGAAAATTACCTGATCTACATTCTCCCTCCCCTATTGTACATGTACTATGAAAAACCAGAAAACTATTGAGTTGTTGCGCATATGTAAAACATCGATGTACGCTAATATTACCTCTTCAGTAGGATTACCCGCATCGTTATCCCATTATATTTACCTTAAAGTTAGTACACATTTTAGAATATACGGTACATAACTATGTATGTATGTATGTATGTATGTATGTATGTACGTAATAAGCTAGACCTAAAAAGAGCGTAGTACGTTAATATTGTCTATTGATCTTTTTATCAAAGATTAGAGTTTATTTTATTATCGAGAACAATTTTACTGTTTGTAAAAGATAAAACATTTATTATTCGTCATCCTGTATACTGCAATCGCTATAAGAGACTAAAATCGCTATAAGAAATACGTTCGTCTATCACCAACGTGCCGTAATAAAATATCATTTAGCTCGACTTTGAAAGTTTCTTTACAATGTAATTTGATCTCTCTCTTTTATGGAGCGTCGCTTGCAGAGTCACCGCAACACTTCGTTCGTTGAGCGAGCAAAGTCTCGTTCAACGATGGGAATCGTTCGAATTTTCGCATGGTTCGGTTTGCGCGGACGGACATGTCTCTTTCACGTCCAAGCAATCACAGTCTTGTTGCTCCTCGCATAATTGCTCGTAGTGGCCGGGAGCTGGATAACTGGCTTGATAGATAGTGTCGGCGCACATGGGATCCTTCGGTGGTTCATACTTCCTCTTGACCGCCCACGTAAGTTCTTCTTTTGGTGGCGGTGTCCACGTCTGATACGAAAGTTTGCTCACGGTTTCGCAATCGATTTTGTACGGTGATCTGTAACAACATTGTTCGTTGCGTTAACGTTCGACTCGGAAGTACATGCTCCTTATCGGTAAATGTTTCGCTTGGTTTACTTGGCATAATGAACGACCGGCTTGTAACTTTGGACACAGTCCATCGGTCCTGGCACTGCGTACGATAATCTCGCGGTAGTTGTATCGTCCATAGGTGTGTCTGCACTTTTAAGATTGCTGCTCGGAATAATAGGATCGGGTCGTGTCGCCGACGATTTCGGGGCAAAATCGCAGCGACTTGTAGTCTCCGACTGCATCGGACCGTCGCCCATCATGTTCCTGCTCCGGGGCAATATGGGCGTTGCACGTTCGTCGGTTTGAATCTTCTGGTAGCTGAGCTGTGGTATAATAAACGAGGCGCGGAAGTAATTATAATAGGACAACACAAGTTTGTGAAGCGAGAGCGTATACTTTATTGGTCGTGTCCCCCGATATTTTGCCATCCAGTCTCGAGATACTGTGGCAAGGAAGGAACGGTTCCACCCGATCGATGCTACTCGGTTGTATGTGGTAGCTCTCCTTGTATATTGTTCTCGCGGCGAATTCGCCGCCGTGAGGGAACAAAGGGTTACCGATTGGCTTGATGGGTTTCTCCATGCAAGGTTCATCGTTTTGTAAATAGCTTTGCGAGTAGGTGGTCTGTGCGCACATCGCTACGTCCGGAGGTCTGAAAACGGCAGATTCCTCGCGCTANTTTTTTGAGAATTCTTACATAGAAATTTATATATACGATATGTATACTATATAAAAGTCTTTGGTGAAATACTTTTTGTTTTTCCTCTCCAAAATGATTCGGAAACGCGAAGACAGTGCAATTATCGGTCAAGCATATTTTTAGATATCGTTCTTTCGAGATCTATTCGATGAAATCATTATGCTTTCAACTCAACGCGCGTACACCATTAATCGTCATACAAAGAAAAACGATGATCGATTTTCGGAAATAAAGATATCTCTCGTAAGTACATATTTAGATGTTAAACTTAGAGAGCTGTTGTCGTCGGTGCGAGTGTAGAAAATTACCTGATCTACATTCTCCCTCCCCTATTGTACATGTACTATGAAAAACCAGAAAACTATTGAGTTGTTGCGCATATGTAAAACATCGATGTACGCTAATATTACCTCTTCAGTAGGATTACCCGCATCGTTATCCCATTATATTTACCTTAAAGTTAGTACACATTTTAGAATATACGGTACATAACTATGTATGTATGTATGTATGTATGTATGTATGTACGTAATAAGCTAGACCTAAAAAGAGCGTAGTACGTTAATATTGTCTATTGATCTTTTTATCAAAGATTAGAGTTTATTTTATTATCGAGAACAATTTTACTGTTTGTAAAAGATAAAACATTTATTATTCGTCATCCTGTATACTGCAATCGCTATAAGAGACTAAAATCGCTATAAGAAATACGTTCGTCTATCACCAACGTGCCGTAATAAAATATCATTTAGCTCGACTTTGAAAGTTTCTTTACAATGTAATTTGATCTCTCTCTTTTATGGAGCGTCGCTTGCAGAGTCACCGCAACACTTCGTTCGTTGAGCGAGCAAAGTCTCGTTCAACGATGGGAATCGTTCGAATTTTCGCATGGTTCGGTTTGCGCGGACGGACATGTCTCTTTCACGTCCAAGCAATCACAGTCTTGTTGCTCCTCGCATAATTGCTCGTAGTGGCCGGGAGCTGGATAACTGGCTTGATAGATAGTGTCGGCGCACATGGGATCCTTCGGTGGTTCATACTTCCTCTTGACCGCCCACGTAAGTTCTTCTTTTGGTGGCGGTGTCCACGTCTGATACGAAAGTTTGCTCACGGTTTCGCAATCGATTTTGTACGGTGATCTGTAACAACATTGTTCGTTGCGTTAACGTTCGACTCGGAAGTACATGCTCCTTATCGGTAAATGTTTCGCTTGGTTTACTTGGCATAATGAACGACCGGCTTGTAACTTTGGACACAGTCCATCGGTCCTGGCACTGCGTACGATAATCTCGCGGTAGTTGTATCGTCCATAGGTGTGTCTGCACTTTTAAGATTGCTGCTCGGAATAATAGGATCGGGTCGTGTCGCCGACGATTTCGGGGCAAAATCGCAGCGACTTGTAGTCTCCGACTGCATCGGACCGTCGCCCATCATGTTCCTGCTCCGGGGCAATATGGGCGTTGCACGTTCGTCGGTTTGAATCTTCTGGTAGCTGAGCTGTGGTATAATAAACGAGGCGCGGAAGTAATTATAATAGGACAACACAAGTTTGTGAAGCGAGAGCGTATACTTTATTGGTCGTGTCCCCCGATATTTTGCCATCCAGTCTCGAGATACTGTGGCAAGGAAGGAACGGTTCCACCCGATCGATGCTACTCGGTTGTATGTGGTAGCTCTCCTTGTATATTGTTCTCGCGGCGAATTCGCCGCCGTGAGGGAACAAAGGGTTACCGATTGGCTTGATGGGTTTCTCCATGCAAGGTTCATCGTTTTGTAAATAGCTTTGCGAGTAGGTGGTCTGTGCGCACATCGCTACGTCCGGAGGTCTGAAAACGGCAGATTCCTCGCGCTAACGCTTCAGATTTGTCTAAGGGTGCCTTGGAACGGGGAGTACCTATACGTTGGCTTGATTCGCCAAGGGCACGACTCCTTCTCTTGAATTTGAACCGGTAGATAGCTCAACTTTTGTGTAGTCTCGTGATACACCGGTTCGCATGGGGGTCGGTAAACCCTTATCGGTTTGAAATTGATGGTCGGTTCGACGAAACCTGGATCCGCGTAGGACAGTTTCGCGGTGGTGCTGGCGTCCAATTGACCGGTGCTCAGACGAATATGACCACAGGGCACTATAAGCTCCGGTTTGTCGATGTGTTTACGGCCGAAGTCCTGGCGAACGGTGGTAACGTGTTCCATGCGACCTGTCCCAATCATTGGCCTGACGTAGAACACAACGCATCATAAATAAAAACAAAGAAAGAGAGAGAAAGAGAGATTATCCGCATCGGACGGAGAATCAAAACCACCAAATCTTCTGTTACCTTTGCTTCGGCAAAATTGGCCTCAGCCTAGGTATAGGACCGGTAACGGGTTTCTTGTAACTGAGTTTGTTAGTCGTTTCGTCGGAAAACTTCCCTTCAAACTTTCCGAGGGCCGGACTGGGTCGAATCGGTTGGGACCGGCTGTGCCGCATATCTCCATGGCCCACGTTCAAATAGGACACGTGATAAGTGGTATCCGTTTCCAACAGCTTCGAGGGCGGGCAATACTTTCTCTCGGGTGCAAACGATTTGACTCGCAACGGTTGCACGTACCTCTTTGTACACTGTCAAACGAAAATGTGAGAGAAACTTGGGCTTCGTGGGGCCCGTAAACGGGAACGGTAGGAGATCGCGTTACCCGAACGTTGCAAGGACATTCTATGGGTTTACGAGGCGGTAACGTTGCTTGTCTCTTTTCGTTAATTTCCACCACTTCCATTTTGCTGTTCTCCTACTTTCCACGGTAGAGATGATAAAAAAAAATCGAGATGTTTTCTGTGTACCGGTGAGATCAAAATTTTGCACAATATATATGTAAAAGTGTAAATATGGAAAAAGATGAAACCGTAACCCGCAAGCGACAACTTCTAGGTTTCATCGCGCGATGTTGGCAAAGCGAAAAAATTTAGTAGCATCGCAACTTTGAAGTCGGTTTCAAATGAACGATATTTGAACAAAAGCAACGTAAAGTTATGATGCGACCATCGATCTGTATAATGAAATTCATCAAATTCCGTGTATTTATGTATATACATATGTATGTATGTATGTATGCATGTATGTATGTATGTATGTATGTATATATATAATCTTGACTATTGTACATCATGAATTGAAATTTTCTTTGTTAGCCACCAATAGTAAATTTATTTCCTCATATTTGTTGATTAAAAATATAATATGGTTGCTTTAATGGAATGCTTTAAAGAATAAAGATACGGCCTTTAACCATTAGATCACAGTTCATTTCTCAAGATCCGTCTCAAATTGTCTGGGGTGTTTCTTGTCGGTAGCACTTAACGAAAACACGTAGATAGCGACGAACATATCGGGTTCGTAAACATGATCTGGCACGAGTTAATGCGTGCGTACGAAAGACACGAAAGACGCGAAAAACATACAATATGAATACGAGTACGAGTACTTCCATGGATTAATTGGTGTTCGTGTTTCGTCAAGGGGGTGGTACCGTGATTACGATAATACGTATGAGTATATACGTAGTAGACGCAACTCGTTGTCTACTGTGGTTTCCACACCTTTTGTTACCATACTTTGCGTTGAAACGCGAAGCATATCGATAAATCTTGTTTTAACATTACATATATTTACTGTATACAAGATAATTCATACTATGACCGATATTTTTGTCTCGTTCGAGTCAAACCAAAGTATTTTAAGTAAAAGATAAATTAGACTTATAGATGTAGATGTAGATGTAAACGTAGACGTGGACGTGTACGTGGTCGCGGACGCGATCGTCGACTCTACTCTTCAAACGGAGGTAGTAATGCGGAATAAGATTAAAAGAGAGAGACGAAACGAATAATAAAACGATGTTTGCGTTACACTGAATAGCATTTTTCTCAGTCGACACACACAATTGATTGATGTCGTTTCAACACCAAGAGAAGAAGGGACTTTTATTCTGGAAGCGCTGTGTAAACGTATCAGAAAACGAGAATAATCTCGGTGCTCCGTTCCCTTTGGCCCTGTAAACAAGTGGGCAAAGCATAAGTATGGTATAAACACGTACAAACGTAAGTAACAAAGTAACATGTATACAGAAACGAATAAATAAATAAATACTTTTCGACGATCACAGCAGGCATTTGGACCAATTGCACCGGGCTTTTGGCATCCTTTAAAGCTTGTTGCAAGTTTAAAATCTGACCTCGCATCACACTCATCTGTTTATCAAAGTGGTGCCGATCGAAACCTTTATCTTGCTATAAAAAAAACAATAATTGTTCGTTTTAACGGGATCCATTCTATTTGATTCAAATTGTAGTTAACTTACTTTCAACAATTGATACAAATCATCGCAAAGATCTTGTACGAAATTTTGGTCGGAGAGCTGAGGAAGCACAAGTTCTCTCGTTACTTCGCTAAAAGGTTGCTTTGCTTGACTCAACCAAGCCCAGTGATAAGGATAGGCACGCCAAGAATCGGGATGTTTGAAAGGAAAGGCTAGTCCGTTGTCTATTGCAGCAATTTTGACCTCGCCTTGTTCCGACCCCGTCTTCCCCACAACATTATCGTACTTAATAAGCCAGTTGTCGTTACCTTAGGAAAATTGATAATGTATTTAGAAATTACAGGCTCGAATGGAACACAGAGGAATTTTAGAATTCGTTAAATACCTCGATCTGTATTTCTAATTATGTAATCCAAAATAACTAAACGCTCGAATTGAAGTTGAAATTCTCTACTGAGACGCGGCGACAGAGGCTCGTTTTCCCATCGTCTCAACCAGAAGTCGGCGTCTTTATAGCCGTCTACGAAAACTTGGAACGAACCAACTTTTGGTGGTAGACCGATGCGATTGAAATGAGAGCCTACTGTGGGAAATTGATCCATGATCGCTTGCTTCATCCGGGCTTTTTGACGGTCTAGGCGTGGGTAGTTAAATGTTTTACTGACGAGCTTAACTACTCTAGTATTTGGAACTATTCCGAGACCTAGTTTACGGTCAACTAAACTTGCACCAGCCTCGCTTAAATATCCCTGATTTGGTATCAAACAACTTCTTCCGAAACAACAAGGACAGCAAAGTTTGTGCATCCATTTTGTCCACTTTGGATTTAATCTGCCATAAGGTTCCTCATCTTTTGGTTTGAATACACCTATTATTTTCTGAAAATTAATAGAATTTCTTAGCGTTATTGTTGGTATCGTGTAAGTAAATGTAATAAGAATATTATACCTTACCCCTGCAGGATTTTTTACAAAGTAGCTCCCACTGGAGCCCTGATATATTCTTTCAGGAGATATTCCATTGTCTATTGCGCATTCGGCTTGCCATACCAACTCAGAAAATTGTGGATCGTCTATAAAATGCTTGGAATTAATGGACATTTGTATTGTTCATACAAGCTGCTTTGAACAAAAATAAATCTGTTCTCATGCGATTCGAAAGTATAATTACAAACCAGGAAAACGATTGAACGTAACATCTAGCTCCAAGCGACCTAGGAGAGGCTGGCTCTCCCGGTCGATCCCAGGGGAATCAATGGCTATAGGTTGTTCGTTGCTTGGGTTTGGAACAAATTCAACGTCTGGTATGAGTTCTGAGCTCTCGTTGCTATTCACTGGTAAACAATTGTTGGATGCAATGGATAAATCTACCAATGCATCAGTTTCCACCAGAGCAGATGTGTTAGTATTATTCTGGCTATGGTATTCTCTATAAGGCACGTGCAATTGCCGCTGTTCGGAGTCGCTCATCACAACCGAATCTGCTCGTTGAACGGCAGATTCTTTTACGTCGCCGATCGTGTACAGGATCGTTCTCGCGATAATCCTATCTGTTTGCCCACATTCCTGTACCACTTGTCAATGACGCGCTCAATCGAGATCTTCTTTCCGAAATATTTTCACCATTAGAAACCGTGACACAGTCATTGCGTCATTAAAACATCCATAACTTTATCGGGTTTCGCGAATCTATTAATTCGACGAAGTAACCATCAAATCAAAAAACGTTATTGTAACAGTTAAAGAGGCACTGTTTAACCAACAAGACGAACTACAATTCGTCATACCAGCAGACGATATCAGCTGATAGGATTAACGCCATACTTAATTTTACTATACTTTTATGTGTGCTTTTGCGTGTTTTACAATCTTTCTTAATTAATACGTTAATAAGAGAAACACGTCCTCAATTTTTAGTGTATATATTTATATTCCAAGCGTTCTGGATAATCGTTTAAAATTTAACGTATGTAGAATATATTTAACAACGTGTTGAACAGACAATACTACAATAATTTCGAAAATAAAAATTTGCAGGATATACAATCCTTTGAGACACGCGCACTTATTTTTAAAAATTTAGAAAATAGTATACGATGTTTTTCGTGAAAATGTCATGGGTAGAATACCGTCGACCAATCAGCACGAGGTACATACTATGTACCGAAGCGTGAATACGACAAGCAAAGTATGGATGTAATTAGGAAGATAACGTTATGGTAATTGCGTGTGGTAAACATATCGCAGTCGTGCGTGGTTGTGCGTGATATCCGTAGCCGCGTACGGCCGTTTCCTCAAGTGGTTACGGATTACCTTGAACCTCGTTCGGTTAACAAATGAATTTTGCAAATTAGGGTCGTGATGTATCTTTCGCGCGATTATTCAAATAATTTTCGTAACTTAATTATTGAAATGTACCCCGCGTAGCATTTCTTGTCTTTATTACTTTGAAGTTATCGTCCAGTTATTCACGATTGTTCAATTTATAATTCTTGTAATTTAAATGTAACAATAGATTTATTTAACTTATTTATTTAACTTATTCAATTATTGATGTAGATATTTATCTAAAATTTGTATTTATATGCGTACATGTGAAGCGAAAAAAGTAAATTGTATATAAAATTTTTAATGTTAACTCTCATGAGAACAAAACTTTATCTTTGCAATTAATGCCTCCTGCAAAGAACAACATGTTTCTTGTATGTGTAACTATGGGTCTTGTATTACTTGCCTCTAAGTATCGCAAGAATGTATTTGAAAGCGTGAAACACATTTGTCAAAGCATTAAGAATAAAAGCTATAAAGAAGACACCAACAAGAAAAACGACATTAACATTCCATTGGATGAAATTATTTTGGCAGATACTCTAGAAAAATGTGATTACGCCGTTCAACGTATTCGCTGGTAAGTTGAAGATATTGCTCATATTTTGATTCTGAATGTCAAGTACACGCCAATGTTATATTTACAGTTTTTCTGACTTGTATTACAATCCATTTATATTTAGGATATTAACTGTGTTTATATACTTCCCCCTTTTATTCAGTTATATCTTATATTGATGCTTATACAAAAATATTATTTATTTGTACAATTCTAAGTAGGTATTATTATATTGTAGTAATTTATCGAACAATGTATTGGGCTTTGACTGTGAATGGTTCAACGATGGACCTGTTTCACTGCTTCAACTTGCTACATTTAATGGAGTGTGTGGTCTTTTTCGCATTGGTAAAATTGGATATATTCCTCCAAAATTGAAAGTAAGATATCTCCAATTTAATTTCATAAAATACAAGACATATAGTAGGTGCACAAATATAGGAGTATTTTCTAGGAATTGCTGGCAAATAAACATATTCTTAAAGTTGGAGTTGCTTCGTACGAAGATGGTCAGAAAATAACAGCAGATTATGGCTGTAGAGTTTGTGGTACTCTTGATTTAAGGTCATTGGCAGAACGTACAAATTTACCAAGTCCAAAAAGCTTGGCTGCAATGAGTTTACAATATTTAGGCTTAGTAATGTCTAAGCTAATAGACGTAAGGTGTGGCAATTGGAATGCTGACACTCTTACAGACGAACAAGTAGCATATGCTGCTTGTGATGCAATTGCGTCTGTTCTTATTTATGACCAGGTAAACATATATTATCCTTATAACTATACTAATAATGTTGTGAAGGAAATTGTCTACAGTGATTAAATTGTTTTGTATTTTTTAGATCGTGCAAAGAATAAAGGAAAAGTACTCTTTGTGGGAAAATATTGCAAACTATATAAAATATATATGTAATAAGAACGGAACAAGGCAATTTTATTGTTTACCAGATGGTATAATCGATACGAGGTAACAATTTTTATTCCCCACTAAAGATATCTCAATGAATCAAAAGTGATTTGTGAATTATTTGTTCAAGGTTCAAGGAACAAAAAACACATGTTACTGTTGATCAAAAAAAAAATAAAAACAATCAACCAGATGGATTTAAGCAAGACTTGAAAGCAAAAAATATTATTTCTACTAATGCAAACAGTATACCTACAAGAAATAAACCACTTTATCACAACTGTTATTTGCAAGCACCAGATGGAGATGTATTGTGTACGTGTGATCAGAAAAAAGCAGAATGGTACATTAACAAAGGTTTGGGAGAAATGATTGATCAAGATCCATTCACTGTAAGATTAAAATTTGAACCTTCTGGTCGTGCTTTGGGGGAAGTTGGACAATACTATACACAAGTCAAGATCAATCAATGTGTAGTATGCGGTTTGTCAGACAAATTTATTAGGAAAAGCGTGGTACCTAGAGAGTATCGTAAATACTTCCCATGTAAGTTATCAAAATTGCAAATCAATATTGCGAACGATTTGCTGAAGCAGTAAAATTTGGTAAATATTTTTCAGTGGTGATGAAAGCGCATCAGTCTCATGACATATTGTTATTATGCCCAATATGTCATCAAAAGAGTAACGGTTATGATCTACAGCTCAGAAGAAAGCTGTCAGACATATGCGATGCACCTCTGACTGGTCCGCTAACGCACATACGTAATGAATATATAAATAATCATAGAAAACTGCGTTCAGCCATTGAAGCACTTAGAGAAAAAGCGACTTTACCCGATGTACGACGGAAGGAACTCGAACAATATATTTCAGAATGTACAGGCCAACAAGTCACGCCGGTTCTTCTTGATATGTTGAGTCAAGAATTAAAAAATAGTAGGGTTTCAATGTCGAACTATGACCAATCTAAATATGAACCCCATGGCTTGAAGGTATAAACTATAAGACATTATAATTTCAACTTTTTATTAACAAATTTGAAATGATATATATTATACATTCTTTTCTACAGGTGGTACAGTACTTCGAAAAGAAGGAAGGTGGATTGGTAGAATTAGAACGTATATGGAGGGAACATTTTCTTGCGAGTATGAAACCAAAATATTTACCTAGTTTATGGTCTGTATGCCATAACCAGGAAAGGTTAACTATTCGTCAATCGCAGAACAGAATAGAACCGGAAGACGCGAAGGCAGCGGGATTAAAGTACTGAATTTTAAGTATTACACAACCTAAAGTACTCGTATATGAGCGAGTACTTGTATTAAAAGACTGTCACACGAGCCAATGTGTCTCTTAAGAATATATGTATGTTCATATATATTTATATTATTTATATACATACACCAACATACAAAATCTATTGACATCTTTTTATTTTCCAGTACTTTCCCATTCTATAAGAATCAAAATACGTGGTGGTCAAAACTCATAAAGATGTCTGTTTTTATTTTAATATTTTAATAGTTAACAAAATACAATCAGAGCAATTTCATTCAATTGCACATTCTGTGCTATTTATTTATAATTAAAATATAGATAGTTAATTATATTTCTATATGTACAGACTTCAGAGGTACGACCATTTAATTTCAGACTACGAGAACAATTATTAAGGTTGTTTGGTTGTATCCTGATGCGTAGAATTCTTCTCAGGTCGTATAGTTGTGTTTCTCAGCTCTTCATCTATACGTTCTTTAGCACGTACTACTTTTGATTGAATATAAAAGGAACCACCCTTAGATCTGTCGTTAACATCCATGAGGTACTTATAATTACGCTCAATAGCATCTGTTTCTTCTATTTTATCAACATTAAGAATACGTAATGATTCGTCCAAAGAAATACCAGTTCTAGAATTGCTTGCTACATGTTGATCGCCTTTGATTCCACCGCCAGCTCTGCGGGCAGCTTCTTGGCTCGCAGCAATTTCTTGTCGCAATGCTCGAGCGAATGCTTTTCCGACGACCCGTGTACCCGTAATTATTACTTGTATCAAGTATTTCGCCATAACCTTCTTTTTCAGGTTAGGAATAGCTATCAAAATGATTCTTGACGTGTGTTTTCTCTATGCACATTTATGTCTAAAAAGTAATTTATTCTTATAGACTTTGTTTTATACAATTTTCTGACGATGACATTATTTACCTCAAAACTTTATAGACGTCCTTTCGAGCATTGCAACATACAACTCGTGTTTGCGGCATTTCCGGACGCAGTTGTATAGCGTTCGCGGTAAAATAAGTTATGCAAAAAGTGGGGTGGTGACGCATGCGCTGGGAGTTCCGCACAGTAGCGTGACGTATCTACCTCGTGAACATCATAATTCTGAATTACGATCGCGACACGACGCAAAGCCTCTGTCTGATCGTACTTCAGAATTATAATGTTCACCTGATAGACATGCCACACCGCTGTGCGGGACTCCCTGTGCATGTGTTACTACCTCACTCCTTGCGTAGCCAGTTTTCCTATGACACTGGTAGAGACTCCCCTATCCGAATATTAGTTTTTACAATATAATTCTGATATCTAAGCGTTCTATTATTTAATCATTTGATTATTTAGATACATTATCACCTAGCAGAGAACTTGAATGACATTTTTGGATAATAGAACGTTTTGATATCGAGATATTATAAAAATAAACCTTTGGATAAGAGAGACTCTCCTGTACATACATATTAAGGTGTCTATGTATTTATGTATTTTACATGTGTATGTACATATTAAGTTTTTAACAGAAGTATTTATTTATATAGTAACATTATGAAGATTTTTGCAATTCAATTCGAGTTTTTGGAATAAAAATTTTAAAAATATTTTCTAACAAAATAGATGCTTCTACATATTTCGGCTATACTAGTTGGTACGAAGAAGTATACACATGGAACTTTTATCAAAAAGAAAGTGGATATTACTGCCAGTATCNTCTGCCCCTTTGAACTTTTTTCACAAAATAGAATAGAAATAGTTGTTACTCTATTAATGCACTTGAAATAGTAAATACATACTCAGGCAGGTATCGGTTGTCTATTAAAGTATTTCAATGCATTAGCTGCACACGTAAGTACTAGATTATATACAGGATGAGTTACATTCATCAAATTTGTATTTTGAGGTCCAATAATTAAAGGTTGTGGAGAATTTTGGGCAATTGATAATCCACTGAGAGCATAACACGTATGGTACATATCTGAATGTCTAAAACAGATAAAAATATTTGGATAAACTTCCTGGTATGATAAAATTATGATAACAGGAGTGGATAACTTTCATAGTAGTGCTTTTCTACCTCCCAGGTTTATCCAAAAGGCCACCCCAGGGATGTTGGCAGCAAATTAATAAATATTCTTGTAAGGCCTCTTGGTTGAACAACCAGTAATTAGAATTGAACACTTTCCTCTGTTTTGTTAAAATTGCGTGTATCAATGAAAGAGCTCCACCTTGCCAAAAGGAATAACAGCCATCTACTACTTTATTTGGTCGTCCTTGAAATCCACCTTCCAGCCGCATTTGTCTATTCACTGTCCATCTCTAACAATACATAACATCGAAAGTAGTACCAAAAACATGCTACAAATACATAAAATCCACAATTTAGTTGTGCTATACTATGTACCAGCAATGACTTTAAATGGAAAAAATCCGTTTTCCCAAGAAGTACAAGAGATGCTAGCCCACAATATGTGTATCCACCATGAGCTTCCATGCCAGGACAACCCCCAATACCACCTTCCCAAGTCTGACATTTAGCTATCCAGTCTTCTGATCCTTTGAACATTTCAGGAGTATATACGTTTGTTAATTTTGCTACAGCAAGTGCACAGTATATGCCCCTAATGTCTACTTCTCCATTGAGGTGTATACTAAAAGAACCATCTTCTCCATGCAGGGATGTTAAGAAACGTTTAAGCGCTTTCCTACAATCGACATATAAATGTTCCATTTATAAAATAGTTTCCATATTGATAATTACTCCTTTTGAAAATGTGTTCTATATACCTATCAATTACTTGGTAAGCTTCGTGTGTGCCAATGATACATAATGCATTTACTGCAGCATAAGTAGTGGCTAAATGAGGGTATTGCCCAGGACCTCCTCCGAAACCCCCTTCAGGAGATTGACATTTAGCTAAGAAACAAGCAATTCTAGAGTATTCTTCATCATCTAAACGATGTCCTAAGAGTTGAAGACAATGTAAGATCCAGTAACACAACCATGGTCTGCTACAATCCAAGGACTAAACAGTAAAACATATGCGTAAGTTCAATGACAAATAGAAAGATAGTACAAAAGACAAAAATGAAGAGCACCTACTTCGTAAGATCCATCAAGATTAGTTATTAGCATTTTTAATTTTTTTATATGTTTTTGCGTCATTAAAATGGGTGTATGACTTGATTTGTATAATTCAAGTACATGATTTTCCACACGTTCCTATGAAAGAAATTACAATAAATGCATATTAATATGAAAGTTTTAGTGATTAAGAAAATCTACCTGTTCCGACGATGTTTTGGTTTCATGATCTTCGTCATCTTGCTTTTGTTCAAGTACTTCGGCATAACTTCTAATATGAGGTTCGTCGAGTTCATTGAACATTGAATCCCACATAATCTATTGAATCCGCTAATACGTCGGATTAAATTGGATAGTAAGAAGATTATCCGTTCAAATTGAAGAAGGAAGGGAATAAGAAATTGATTAAATTTCACAATAACTATATCGTATTCATCGTGTTCGTTCAGTAATTACATTAAGGTTAATAGAACATGGAAGTTCTGTGACACTAACTAAAATGTATGTATATTATAGAGACACTAGAGACACTAGAAAAAGAACTGTGCGTGAATAACAGTGAATAACATTAGTTACAGTCCTCCGTTTGTCAAAATCACGATGTACAATATAGGTGTGTTTACTTGTAACAAAACCTTCTCATTTTTGTGAGATCGTTCATTNTACGTTAAATTAAAATTTTGTATCATGAGTTTACAGACACATTTACAAGAATGAATTATCTCTTGAATTGTTTTAATTCTTCTTAATTTTATTAATAAGTAACATTATATGTACATTTTGTTGGTCAATTTTAATACGAAGTGAAATAGAATCTGCCCCTTTGAACTTTTTTCACAAAATAGAATAGAAATAGTTGTTACTCTATTAATGCACTTGAAATAGTAAATACATACTCAGGCAGGTATCGGTTGTCTATTAAAGTATTTCAATGCATTAGCTGCACACGTAAGTACTAGATTATATACAGGATGAGTTACATTCATCAAATTTGTATTTTGAGGTCCAATAATTAAAGGTTGTGGAGAATTTTGGGCAATTGATAATCCACTGAGAGCATAACACGTATGGTACATATCTGAATGTCTAAAACAGATAAAAATATTTGGATAAACTTCCTGGTATGATAAAATTATGATAACAGGAGTGGATAACTTTCATAGTAGTGCTTTTCTACCTCCCAGGTTTATCCAAAAGGCCACCCCAGGGATGTTGGCAGCAAATTAATAAATATTCTTGTAAGGCCTCTTGGTTGAACAACCAGTAATTAGAATTGAACACTTTCCTCTGTTTTGTTAAAATTGCGTGTATCAATGAAAGAGCTCCACCTTGCCAAAAGGAATAACAGCCATCTACTACTTTATTTGGTCGTCCTTGAAATCCACCTTCCAGCCGCATTTGTCTATTCACTGTCCATCTCTAACAATACATAACATCGAAAGTAGTACCAAAAACATGCTACAAATACATAAAATCCACAATTTAGTTGTGCTATACTATGTACCAGCAATGACTTTAAATGGAAAAAATCCGTTTTCCCAAGAAGTACAAGAGATGCTAGCCCACAATATGTGTATCCACCATGAGCTTCCATGCCAGGACAACCCCCAATACCACCTTCCCAAGTCTGACATTTAGCTATCCAGTCTTCTGATCCTTTGAACATTTCAGGAGTATATACGTTTGTTAATTTTGCTACAGCAAGTGCACAGTATATGCCCCTAATGTCTACTTCTCCATTGAGGTGTATACTAAAAGAACCATCTTCTCCATGCAGGGATGTTAAGAAACGTTTAAGCGCTTTCCTACAATCGACATATAAATGTTCCATTTATAAAATAGTTTCCATATTGATAATTACTCCTTTTGAAAATGTGTTCTATATACCTATCAATTACTTGGTAAGCTTCGTGTGTGCCAATGATACATAATGCATTTACTGCAGCATAAGTAGTGGCTAAATGAGGGTATTGCCCAGGACCTCCTCCGAAACCCCCTTCAGGAGATTGACATTTAGCTAAGAAACAAGCAATTCTAGAGTATTCTTCATCATCTAAACGATGTCCTAAGAGTTGAAGACAATGTAAGATCCAGTAACACAACCATGGTCTGCTACAATCCAAGGACTAAACAGTAAAACATATGCGTAAGTTCAATGACAAATAGAAAGATAGTACAAAAGACAAAAATGAAGAGCACCTACTTCGTAAGATCCATCAAGATTAGTTATTAGCATTTTTAATTTTTTTATATGTTTTTGCGTCATTAAAATGGGTGTATGACTTGATTTGTATAATTCAAGTACATGATTTTCCACACGTTCCTATGAAAGAAATTACAATAAATGCATATTAATATGAAAGTTTTAGTGATTAAGAAAATCTACCTGTTCCGACGATGTTTTGGTTTCATGATCTTCGTCATCTTGCTTTTGTTCAAGTACTTCGGCATAACTTCTAATATGAGGTTCGTCGAGTTCATTGAACATTGAATCCCACATAATCTATTGAATCCGCTAATACGTCGGATTAAATTGGATAGTAAGAAGATTATCCGTTCAAATTGAAGAAGGAAGGGAATAAGAAATTGATTAAATTTCACAATAACTATATCGTATTCATCGTGTTCGTTCAGTAATTACATTAAGGTTAATAGAACATGGAAGTTCTGTGACACTAACTAAAATGTATGTATATTATAGAGACACTAGAGACACTAGAAAAAGAACTGTGCGTGAATAACAGTGAATAACATTAGTTACAGTCCTCCGTTTGTCAAAATCACGATGTACAATATAGGTGTGTTTACTTGTAACAAAACCTTCTCATTTTTGTGAGATCGTTCATTGAAGTATCGTAAGATGACGTTCGACTCGAACGTTCGAGTAACGAACCAGCATCATGGCGGTTCCATTTAAAATCCCTAAGGTACGGTGTCAGTCCCACAAACCAGTCTTATGTTTTATGCAGCAAATTATATATTTCTTATTAATTAAACATAAAAATGTAAGATATCAGAAGTAAACGTGGAACAATAATTTTCAATGAACTAATACTATAGTTGATCGAATGTTTGTCGTAAGTAAAGGATTAAATAAGTTCTAGCAAGTTAAAGTGAAAAGTGTAATTAATTTTTTTTTAGTTGAAAATTTGTTTTAATATCTCAAATACAAAAGAGGATGGAACAAACTTGCTTGAAATGTGAGAAAGATGCACACTAAAATCTCTAGATGAATCGATTGTTAAGTTTGAAATTCCAGCAATGGCGAAAATCAACGAGTTGGACAATACTTTTACACGTTTTCGAGCACAAGTTTCTCCTTATTGAACTGACTAGGATAGTCACGTGACTTTTCTAGAGTCAGTAGAAATGGTATTATCACAAATGAGATATAGTAGTGGACTGTACGTCGAGCAGTTTGAGCGTTTTGCCATGGGCGACGCCACCAGTACTTGGCGTTTCTCTTTTAAAAAGTTGATAATTCGCTAGAAGTTTCAGTGTTTTGCCACGGGTGGCGCCACCAGTATTCTGCCTACGGTCCAAAGCTTTCTTTAATGAAAAGAAAGTTTTTACAAGACATATCAATTATCATCGGTATTTTTCTTCGAATATCTATAGAACACCAGAGATTGTAGATCAGTTTCTTTTTCAAAAAATATTGCTGCATAAGTTAAAACTCAATTTAGTATTTTCAACATAACAGATCCAACGGTCTAAAATCATCTCAAAGAAAGAAGAAATGAAAACAATAATTGATGCAAGCCAACGATTTCTGATTACTCGCGTATCGTCTTTGAAGATTGTTAATTAGTATTGGCATGGATTTAAATAATCCCATTGATATTTTTAATTCCAACGTATTTTTGTATGAATTCTAGGTGAACATGGGGAAACGACAAATTTGAATTGCTCGTGGAATATGCTAATATATCGAATTGAAATCCGTCGGTAGCAACCGAGAACCGGCATCTGGCTGAAAATATCGCATACGGCCCGTCGGCAAACATCCATGAGGTCAGTCCACCGAGTACAGATGAAATTAGCTGGAGCATAATGGAGCAGAACGAAGAGAGAGAGTACTGTGTCCGTGTAACGTGTTATGCGCGACGATCTGACTAACATACTCTCTACGCAGCGTACTAAAATTGACTTGTTCCGGAGAATTGGTCAAACTCGCTATTAACAAAAAGCCCGTATCTCCCGTTAATTCTGTAATAGACGTATCTATAAATCGTACCAATGAAATGTTTATCTCACTGTTAGGCGAATCTCGAAGAAAGGAACGATGGAGCACGAGGGCTAGGGACACGAAAGACGAGAAACGAGACACGAGAGCGGCAGGAACCGCGCTAAAAATACACCGGAACTTTCTGCAACACGATGAAGAACAGTTGGCATTCTAGCAAAGACCTTTCTTTAAATTCATAGAGGAAGGTCCAACATGTCTGCCCGACGACAGCGTATCCTCAAGCTCGAAAATAGACCCGTAGTATAGTTTTTCGCGGCTGTTAACGCGGGATCTGTATCGCGATACCTTTAGCAACGGGCAAACCGACCGAAACAGCGTTTGGCCGCGGATAATTACGCGTTTATAAACACCTGGTCGGAAGATAGCTTGAATAGCTCGGTAGATTCCGAAATGCTGGGTTAGAAATTTGATGCAACCGGTCCAGCGCGCCAATATTTGCAACGTGCAAGGCCGCCGTAATGCTGCAGCTCATTTATTTCGCGCGCGCTAGCGTTTCTCTGAATTTCACCGGGACACTGTTTTTCTTGTCACTGTCGTACGGTAAGGTGGTTGCAACGATCGAAGACACGTGTCGCAACGTGTCGAAGAAGGTGTCGTTGCGGGACGTATCGGTTCTTTAGTCTAGGCAAAAGAGGTGGCCGTGAAATCGGCTACGTCGACCATTCTAAAGTTGTGCCAGCATTTCTTGCCAAATTTAATTGGAGCTCGTCTATGTCTGCTGCACAGTGTCCCGAGAATATTTCTTTTTTCGTATTCCTTTTTCTCGACGATAGCCTCTCCGTCACCCTTGCCTTAAAAAATGTTCCTCGAACGCTACCCTTGAAAATTCTCCGTAAAAGTTGTCTTCAAAAATCGATTACACCAGCTCGCTGTCGCGAGTTTATCGTTCACCCATCTAAACCGAGAACGAATAAACGGAAGGAAAAAGCGCGCCGATCAACGAAAGCTGTACGACCACCGCAGCCTCGTCGAATTAACAGAGGGCGGTGATTGGAGAGTGGAAAATTACAGTTTATCGGCTCGAAAGTACCGTACGATCTGGCTTTCCAGATCATTGACGATTCAATTATAGAATACCGAACGTATCCGTGCTACCGGAGCTGGCGACATTAATATCGCTGAATCCCCGCGAAATTTCGTCGCTTATCGCGCTCGGATTTATCGGTTGACAACGATCGAAAGTGTTCGGCAAACATCGCCTGTTCCACGATAACAAAAGTAACTCGATTGCTTCTTGCCGCTTATTCACCTCGAAAGGGAGTCGTCGTTCCTTGAAAAACGATTTAGCTCGTAGATTCTATGTTTCTAATTGTTTCTAATTGTTTCCAGTATCAGAATCGAAAGACATAAAACTGTTCGCAACGATAAAGTCTCCAAATGATTCGCACGCGTCGCTTCGGATAGTCGTCGCACGTACGAACTTATGTCGTGCACGTGCGGACGCGTTGTTGCGTCAACGAATCACGTAAGAACAGCTAAACGATCATGATTCGTTCGTTTACAGGTTACTTGCACCTTCTGTCGCGGTGCAAATGGACGTCGGATGGGGGACCCGCGAGTCAGGCCCTCTCGGAGCGAATTTAACAAGCCGTCAACAAACGCCATCCGTGACCCTCGATCGCCCTCCGCACCCCATGGCGGCTGGAGCGAACGAATTGCGTAATTCCCCTTAAAAAAATTAGTCCGCCGATTATACCGACGGGCGTTTTACAACACCATCGGCGCGCGGTCTATCGTGGAAATGATCGCCGTGGAAACGCCTATCGCTTCGAACCGTTGGTAAGCGTCGCTTTGTCGCATAGCCGGCGAATTGCTTGGACGACTGTACCGCTGCCGACAAGATTTACATTCGCAGAGACGCAGGCGTGTGCGCCGGCAAAGCAGAAGCAAAAGCAGAAGCAGGCATAGGAGATGGGCTAAGGGAAAAAAAAAGGAAAAGCTGCGCGACGAGAAGAACAATTCGAGCGGCGTCGGTGGTATCCGCCGTGTATTTCGGTCCCAGCGAGCGCGGCTGGGCCCTCCGAGAAGTTTACGGTCTCCCTGTCTTAGCGAAATTCCACGCTAAATTTAATCCGCGCCGAACCGCTAGATAATTGCGCTTTTGCGTAAGAGATAGCGCGTCTCTTGAAATAATGGATCGGCCGCGTGCGCGCGGTACAAGCATTCGCGAACTTTCCTTCGAGATAATGTTCCTCCGAGAGACTTTTGGTGCCCGTATTCTTAGCCGACGGAAGCAAAATGGTCGCCGCTTTCGTTGCATCGGCGGATATCCCGGATGGATTACGAATCGAGGCACGACTTCGGTCGCCGTGGCCAGACGAAACTTAGACAGATTAGAGCGCCAAGTGGAAGTTTCTTTCGTCGAATCGACGCGCTAACAAGCGGCGTAATGAGCAGCGTTGTCGCAGTCCGTTCGCGGACGGGCTTGTTCAGGATTTGCTGAACGATGCTTAATTATTCCGTTAGCGAATTGCATCGGCCGCGCATCGACTCGGCCTCGGTAATTGAACTTGGTTCTACGGAACGTTGTTCGAGAACGCGTTTCAAACGACTGCGCTGCAAGAAATCGGCAATTATTCGCAGTCGCGTACCGGACGCGACACCAGCTGCGCTACGATTCAAATGTTTACACTTCACGTGGAAAGAATCTTGTCGACCAGATAGCATCGACGTCGCGAAACTTTTACGTGGCGCGATCGTACCCAGGATAAGCTGTCACGTTATCGCCGTTCTCCCGACATGACTCGATCTCGATCGTCGCCGGCATTAATGGCATAACCGGCGAACTGCCGGACGATCCTTGGTCTCAACAGGTTGAAGCGTAGTCTCGAAGAGGATTTGGAAGTTCACCGACAGCCCGGTACACGCGGTGCGTGATGCGACCTTCAAGCGGCGCATAAATCAGACTTTGGCGGAAAGTAATGGCGGTGCCAGAACGGGTGATCGATACGGGAACGGGTTTAAACGTGGATGTTTTCGAACGTGTCCGGGGATCTCGGTAAGATAAAGTTGGCGCGCTTACAGCGTCGCGTCGGTTTCCACCGAACACAAGTATATCTGGCAGAGAGACGTTGTCGCCGGCATTATGTAACGCAAGGTGCCGGGCAAGGTGGCCGTCGACCGGGATTCTTGACCACCGATTCGCGAACAGGAGGAACGTGCGCCGAAATTGCGGAACCACCTTGTGCGCTGTCAGAGGATTCAACGGGACATTGACATCGCGGCATCGACCAGACTCTCGTCCGACAATAACTGAACGAGTGCTTTCTTCGAGGGCTTTGGAAACCGGGTACAATGTCTCGTTTCCGAAAGATTAATTTTCTAAGGTTTCGGATCGCTGTCGCGTCGCGTCGCATCGCGTCGTCACCATCTGGAAAACTCGCCGACAAATATTTGCTGTGCTCGTGTGCTCGTACGCTCGTGCCGGCCACGATGCTGGTCACAAGATAAAATCGCTGGTCTCCAGCCAGTTAAACCGTTCATTTAATACGCTTATTGTGGTATTTAAAGCGGTTGTTACAGAGAGCCTGCGTTCTCTCCGGGCGATAATTTTCTCGTTTGCCGGCTCGCGAGAAGCGACAAGCGACGCGAAATCCTCCCGG